TCGTATCCAAACTGAACTGACAATAATCTAATTTTAATCATTATATCCGGAGGTACGCAACGGTAAATACGTTTTTGAGAATGATTTTTATTAAATGGTTTTCGACTATAGAATCAAATTGGAGACTATGTATATTATATTAAGTAGTCATTGGAACTACACAACCAAAAAGAGATTTAAAGTCTTTAATCTTTCTCTCTTTTCATCAGCATTTTATAAATAAAAGTTTGTTCTGTTTGTCAGTTTCGGTCAGTTGGTCAAAGGCGGTGGCCGTAACAATAAACTTTTACGACCGCCACAAGATAAGGAGGACATGTTGTACTTTTATCAGGATAAAATGTGGACACAATGTGCTCTTGCGATCATTGTTTTGGAAATTTACGTTCAGAATATACGTTCACAGAAATTTTGTTAGATGAAACTGTGTATGCTGAGTAAGGAATAGAGTGGAAATTAACATCAGTTTTATGGAGTTTGTTGGTAAATGTTTTGGTCAAACAGTCACAGAATCCTGTCTAGTAATACGGTCACATACACATTCCATTTAGACTTGGAATAATAAATTTGTAAATCCCACCAAGATTCTGAAGAAAACCATGATAAATTACAGAGCAGTTGGCTACTCACACGGCGTCAGTCTTTATTAATATTCCGTCCAGTGCATCAGAAACTAAATTGTAAAGCGCTGTACGAAAAAGTATTCAAATTCGAAAACGACCCAGCAATATAAAGCCACGCTCACACGTTCTCAATATCTTAGAATTTCGTTCACCACGTTTAAGAAAATACTGCCAAGTCAACTTCAAACAATCTCGTATAATAGAATCTGCAACTGACAAAGAGACCTATCTTGAAAACATCGCGACCCATTTACTTGAACGAGAATCTAAAATTGGGCGCGTTTTCTGTTTGGTAATAGGCTATTTAGCACCATTCCAAATGGGAGAGCCAGTAAAGGTGGCAGAAAATGTAGTGCGTCCTAATACCACAAATCCTTCGTGTTTAATTAACGTAATAATTTTGGAAAGCAATTCGAATACAATCGAATGCTATAGCTGAACAGTAACTCCATTTTATGATACCTTGGGGCATTAGCATGCAGATTGTTACCGCTATACCAGTATGAAGCGGTTTGATGTGGTTCTAACTGGTTCGAACTGCTTCACGCCGGATCCTAGTAATCCATGTTGCGTCGTATCTATGCGTAAATCTAGAAACGATTTTTGTAGTAATATTTTGACGTATTTTATGATGTTGGATGGTATTTTGCGTGAGTTCTATTGGAGTGGTTTCGTTTCACATATAAATGGTTCTGAAAATAGACTCGGTTTATAGTTTTCGTAGGAAACGTTAAATTATTTTATGTCCTTAATAAGTTAGTAGCGTTTTTAATATACATTTGTATTATCATAAAAAACTGTACCAAGTATGAAACGTTTTACCGCCTTGGTTTAAAGGACGCTCACATTACATGCTCTAAAATTTTATGCTTATTATCTTTGAAGTTATGTTCTAGTGTAATAAGGAAAAGGAGACTCTCTTAAATCAATTCCCCTCCACCTCCAATCCTCAAATGTCCAGCAACGCACTTGTAACTTGTCAATTTTGCCATGGGGTGCCCATGGCTACGAACGATCGCTTGGCATCGGAACATCAGTCTGCTGGTTTGCTGCAGATTTTTTTTTTGTATTATAAAACTGGTTACTTTTAATTCATATTAAAAAATTGAGGCTATAAATATAAAATAATTTCAGTTTCTCTTCCAGTGATTAATTAACGAATATTGTATTATTTGCGTGGGATGTTTATTGCTCTTGTTTTCCCTTAGCCCTACAGATTAACTTAATTATAATCCTCGGTAAATTAAGTGGAGTTTACTAAGTCAAGAAACACTAACATTGGTTTAAATGTATACAAGTTGCCGACGTGGTATTAATCATTAATTAATTCCCTAGCGCTTTGTCCACAATTAAGTACGAAGGGTTACTATTCTTGATGTTTAGGAAAATTCCTTTGAAGTGTTCGTTTTACAGTCAGTGAAAAACGATGAAAATAGGCAGAAAAAAGAATTAATTATTTCTTAGCTGTGAGTTTACCAAAGTCAAATTCGTGGTAATCTAATATGTAAAAAGTACCTAACATTATGTTGCTATAAAGGTGAAATTAAAAAGTCCGTTATAGCTAGGTAAAAAAAGTACGAATTGATATTGAATGCTTTTATAGCCAATGGAAAACTTTGTCTTGTGATATAAACCGTCGTATTCCAAATTGTAGCAAACTCCGTCGCTAAAACATCTGAAGCCACAAACAACTTTCCTTACAAGGAAGACATTTCAAATACTCTCGTTCCCCGTATCTATTTTCGGTATGAAAACAAAAACAAAATTCCTGATGCCAAAAATCTCAGTCTAATTACCATACTTAGCAACAACTTCCAGTTGGGAACACATGAATAATTCCAACGTACGTAATATGCTTTCATCAAAGTTTCTAACATAATGAGGGAAAGAACCAACGACCAAAATTTCTGGTCCTAAGTTACAAGCTAAGGGTTTTACATACGAGCCAATTAGGTAACTCCCTAACTCCGTACAATTTCAATAGTTACCTAGTCTACGTACAAATATTTGTTAGTTCTAGTTAGGCTTCTTCTGTCTGGATTAGCTGCGATTGTTTTAGGAACTGTTTGTGTTGGATCGTCTTTTTCTGCTCATACTATTTGGTTTAGTTTTTTACCTAATTTACAGTCAATTACTCTTATGTCATCAAGTCCAGGTGCTGTCCTGACTTGTAGGTAGAAGTGTTGTTATTTTGCATTTTTCCCTTGTATAAGGTCATTTGGTCTACTTAATGTAGTCTAGCTTTTACTATAAATTTTCCACCTGCTTAAGTGAGCCGTTAGAATTTTTATATTATACCAGGTATCCAGCAGCACGAACAAAGCTTTAAAAAATCTAATTTACTAAGTATATGGAACCCTTAAATTCACGAAAAACGTTTTAAGATTTTTTCCAGAAATAAACGAAGACAGGCTGACTTAATCAAGTATAAATAAAGGATTATAAGGGATGAAAGGGGTTGAAAAGGATAGTTCTAAAAATATGTTTAACTTTGTAATCACTTCAAAAGATTTTATATCTATTCCCGCGATTTTGCATAAAACAAAGGATATTATAAAGGAAAACTGACAGCTGAGTGGATTTTGAAACCTTTTTCTGTTTATGTTAAAGATGAAGATAGAAATTTAAGATAACATAAGTCGGAAGTCTAAAAGATAACAAAGCCAGTTTAAAATTAGAGTAGATCTTACGTGAGTGATATAACGTTAATTCTATTTTTAAAGCTAACAATGTAGTGCGTAAAAATAAAAGAACCACAAGATTAAATTCTAATATCATTGTTTCAAAAGAAACTCAGTTCAAAAAGTTCCATTAAAAGTCGGCACCGAAATTAGAGTAAACCGCATCGAATAAAATTTGCATACAGTGTGGGTCGCGTTCTGCGTCCAAAATTGAGTTTCCCATGCCTACCCTAAAACCAATATGGCTTCCTATCCAAACCCCAACTACGACGCGAGAAACGACGGCACTAGAAAACAAACGACTCACTTTTACACCTATCGCTTACAACATCAGTTTGCCACGGAAATCTGTATCAACATTACCGTCAATGAATAGCAAACATTGCGCGTTTTCCGTTTCTGCATAACACAGCTGTAGAACTTATGGCCCCATTCCAGGGATTGTTTTGTTTCTAGTGTAAATTTTCTTTGTTTGCGCAAACCACTGTAATGTGTCGTAACCGCAATATTTAGAGCATAGATAATTTAATAAAGGATGTTATTGTTAATATTATAAGTAGGTGGCATGTTTTGAAAAACCATTTAAGATCTGGCTTTTTAGGGATAGCCTGCGAAGGGTAGTTTCTATTTCGTATTATGGTTTTGGCTGTTAGGTTTGTACATTTAATTTGGTATCTTGTATTAGCGGAATAAGGGATAAGCTCGTGGTGGCACGGAGGCTAAACTTTCTCATGCATTTGAAACCTGGCAAGTATCAAAATGAGTTTTTCTGAGTTATATGTATTTTTTATGAATATAATACGTAATATTTAACGAAAACATCGTGATGAAATCTGAGCCCTATATATGTTTCAAATTGCCAATCGCCCTTGAGTCAGCGTGGTCAATAATACTTAAACCTTCACCATCTGAGAAGAGGCCTTAGCTCAGCACTCATAGGCTGATGACGTGCTGTGATAAGGGATATACTTATATCCTTGAAAATAATGTTACTATTAAACAAATAAATTATAGTAATATGAGAAAACGAAAACTCATTTTGTTCGAAAACTATTATTACTAAATACATATTTTGTACTAAATAAAAAAATATACATCATTACAATTTCAGTGTAATTTAAAATGTAAATAAGGTGCTATAGTTTACAACATTTTGACCTGGTTAGGTTAGTTTATTACACAAAGTAGTGTTTTATGAAAAGGTCGTTCCAGGAATATTGTAATGAGCTTCGAAGTATTTATCTTTAAGGTCTTACAGTTCAGAATAAATTATGATAACTATTAGTGAATTGAAGATAGGTTTCATATCTAATTAAAAATATGTATAGAATACACTGCTTTTTGTCATAAACCTAACCCACCTTTAGATTCAGTTCGCAATTGGTAAAAAAATAACATGTATCAATCAGAGTGTTACTCACATCTTCCGCTAAAGAGGATAAAACAGTAACAAAAATCCATTAAAGTGATTTGATTATCAGATAATAACACAACACATGCTAATATATCTGGATCCATAATATCTATAGCGATATCAACAATTTTCGACGTATAACGCACTCGTGATACGAATACATCAGCCGTAATGGATAATGCATGTAAATCGATCAACACTTGAAGCCATCCACAATATTGAACGTTCCCTTCAGCCCATATTTTTATGGAATGACGGGAAATTTCTTTTGATGGCCTCTCCCGCATGTCACCTCAGATGCAAATACTTCCACAAACTTTAAACGCGTTTTTTAAGGAAAAAATCGCATCTCTGTCATATTTGGGAACGAAATGTAAGATCCCCCGTTTCCTTGACAAGGTAATTTTAATTTAATATTTATGGCTCTTCTTATCGGGCTAAGTTATGTTTTTTTGGAATGGAAATTGTAATTTGACTTGTTTGTCGCATTCTCTGAAATGAAAGATTTTTTCTGTCCATTCATTGTGACAAGTTAAAAAGTGATTTATTGTTACTAAGTATTAGATAACAAGTAAGTACGTAATATAACTTTTTTGTACTTTATTATAATGTTTGGCTTCAAGAAAACTCAGTAAAGGTAACTAAGCAAAACCTTTAATTAACACACTGCAGACTACTAGATTGAGTTTTCAAAAAGGCATTTGAAGTTGTTACACTCATGTTACACAGTAGTTACAACGCATTGCAAACATAAAACTACTTACAAGTACACAAATAGACCATGAATAGTACTCCGGGGCAGAATCGTGACGGTTTCCTCGAAATGTTGAGAGTTGTGGGGGATAGTTAGTAGGGTGTGCCACAGGGTACGTCGTTAGGACCTCTATTATTGAGCCACGAATTAGAAACCTTTCTATTAACCTAACTAGTTTAATGCGAGTTGGAATTTATGTATTCACGGGTAATTTAAGTTATTTATTGTGTTACCCTGGGTAAATTCTCCTTTATCTTGAGGTTTATACATTGTTATTGTTTTATGTCATATTAGGTTAAGCCGAAGTTAACGCTAGTGCGCACTGACAGGTTATTCTCCGGTATAACATTAATCTACTTGTCTCAGGCGATTCTAACAACGTGCATAGAATAATAAGTAGTATGTATTTAGGTATCTACAATTTCCTTTCATAACGTTATTTTTTAATATACTAGGTAATAAGTTCAAGTGCCAAAGCTGAGTGCTAAAATGCCTTCCACTTTATAAGTAGATATTTTACAAATAAATCAACAGGTAACAATTTATCTTTCCGAACAATTTACCCGAAACACCATAACTTACCCGCGCTGTTTAGACTAACGATATTTTATGCGATTCAAAACATCAACAAGCCATTTTTCGTAATAAATTTTAAGGAAACTTCTGTAAAACAGAAGTTACTTTATCGCATTTTGGAAGGAGTGAAACCTTTAAGTTTTGTTCCGGTTTAAGGTCGATGCTTCTCGAACTTTCGACCGTTGTTTTGCCAAATTTAAGACGAGCAACTGTTGTGTTACGGTTCGTAAACTGATATTTTAAGGTAACTAGATTAGTTTGGGAAAAGATTATTTAAATACATTTGTAGATAAATGGAAACCGAAGGCTGATCTTAGATTTGATCTTTTGTGTATCGATACTTATGAAATTATAAGGAATAGCAATAGAAATTATTAAAACTTCATATTATACGAAATATTTCTATAAATAGCTTAGCTTTGGTTTGCCTAAAATACTGTATTTTCATTATGAGATTCGTCATATATTTTATGTTGAATATAATTTCAGACTAGTCCTAGTAATCATATTACATAATTATGTCATAATTGTTAGGTTTCTATGATAACTAGCATTTATGCTTTCCAGGAAATTGTGAAGTGATTTTGTGCAAATTGATACAGAACTTTCATTGTATGATGAAACAATAATAACATTAAACACCGAAATTAATTTCAATGAAACTATAATTTTATTTACCATCTCAAAATTGCCATCACAATAGTTTTCTCTATTATAATATGAATTGGCAAGCTATTAACGTCTTCAGTGATAATGTTGTCTGGTACAACTTAAAAAGAGGGCCCGTTTGTATTAAAATCATATTCTGAAAACCATTCAACTAAATAGGACAGTGAAATGACTTCGTATTGCTTTCTCTTTTCTATTAATATTAACAGCAGAGTATAATTAAAACTTATATAGCTGGTAAAGAACTCATTCTAGGTAATGAAACTTATTATTTCTTCGAACCGATAGTTAGGAGCTTAGTCTTTACCAGAGAAAAAAGGCTACTTCATTACTTCTGATTCATTTGTTTCTGGTCTCATGTTTTTAGTAATTTATTAAAATACCAGGTAGTCTTGCGCGCTTTCACCCGCTGCTCGGCTGCATTTTTTTGTGCTTGTGCGCAAGAGTGTGTGGTGTTTCATCAGTTCAAAAAATTTGGAAACCTGACCAGCTGTGCAGAATCTTATTTTATTTAGTAAGGGATTACCTCCTACATATAAACTTTCAAATTACACATTTTACCTTTTATTAGTATAGACTAACTAATAAATCCCCTTATCCTTCGCGTGCTCTGGGCCAAGGCTGCGGTGACTCTGGCTTTTTAGGGCTGAACATCAGCCCTAAAGGGCCCCGTCTGAGGTGGTCTATTGGCTCTTTGAGGCTCGCATGGATTGCTATGCACCGTACGCTGGGGTCTGGGTCTGGTCAGGGGGCTAGCTACCCTTATTCGCCGATACAGAAGCTAACAAAGAAACGTAGTCCAAGCACACATTTTATGCAAAAGAGTTAGGAAAGTATGACATGCATGTGTGCGTCATCCTAATATCTACAAAAAGTTATCACCAAAACATTTGCAAATAAAGTGGCTTATTACATATCTCTAAAACCCTGACCAACATAAGCTTGGGTTCGGAATTGCATCCAAATCTTAGACTATATCTACGCTTGCGTCAATAATCCATCAGGCCATCACAAACGGAGCTCACCAGCGAGATGCTGTATCAGTCGGACTCGCAGCAGGAAAAATCACACGCCCAATCACATTTCTAGAATTCTAAACTCTATTAAATTTCGTGTAGTGGGAAAATCATTACTATACAACCTTCTTCCTTCACATTTCATGTTTCTTGTAATAAACCGAGTAACATCTCCAAGTACTAAGGCTGCGTCATAACCTGAATTGCTGGAAACTCAAGCAAATAACGTTCATATGTTTGTTGAACAAAGCACCGTTATATCTTATATTATTATGTGACTGAGCAAACATCTCTGTGACGAACAATTCAGTTTATTAAAACCCTCCAGTCACGTTTAGTTCGGTTGTTACAAAACTTATAGAAACTCCACTGATGCCCAAATTCATGGTGTTCTTAACTTCCAAAGTTTTTGTCTCTTGTTCTTTCGAATGAGAAAAATTAAATTCATTTCAGTGAATTTAGATTTTATTTTTAGAACGTTTCGTCGCCTTCTTTTGTGTTCTTATTTTTAGTTCATTGGTCATTGTAATCTTTGATGTTTAATCAGTTACAAAAATCGTTGAATTTTAAATTTGAATTAAACTTTGCTACATTATCCAATTGACTGTCCAATTCAAAACACTATCCAACTCGAGTAACAAACTCTATATTCTATTATCAACGCCAAAACTTGGAACATAAAGCGCATTCACCTAATTCAACTATTCGTATTAGCATAGTTCCTCTTAAGACATTAGTAGTACCTTGACACAGAATATCCATACAATTAAATGGAAGTACCTGAGTTTGCATAGTTCAAAAATATTCTGCACTCCATGGGACTCAAGAGAGTGGTTGTAACTATTCTGACGTCACAACTTTTCAGTGTCTCGTAATAAGTGGAATTTTACGTTCATTTTTATTCTTGTAAGTTATCCTGGTTATGATTTCTGTGGAAGTATAACACAAGTTTTATCGATGTCTCAGCAGCAGGCGTTGGATTTTAGTAGACTTTTATTTTTTTAGGTCACGTTCTTCGCCTTGGGTTTTTATGAGTATCGATCATAACGTTGCTTGTCTACGTAAAAATATTGAAAGACTTTTTTATATTACGTAGGATTATTGTCTTTTAATCGTTGTTCGTCTTCATTGAATTCGATTTTTATTTTAAGTGAGACTTTGCGTATTTCTGTTTTTAATGTGCTTTATCAATGTTTGGTAGTCGTCTATACAATCACAAACACATATCCTCGCTTGATAAAGTTATATAGAAACCACGTCAACTTTCCTTAATTTTCGAACGTTAAAACATTAATCTCTATTTCACATAATTCACTTAAAACAGAAAGTAAATCCGTCAATTTATCTTCGTCTCCAAGCTCAATCAGTTAATGAACAGTTGCCGCTCTTACACAACCAATAGTTCCTTCAATTAGCTTTCCTATCTTACATTGTATCTCCGCTTTACCTTCTTGTTAATCTCAAGATTACGAGTTTGCCGTCAACCCTCTCAGTAATATTACGTCATTAATATGCTTCCCTACTACAGGTGTTTGAAGTTACGCGTTACTAAGTGTTATTGTATTGGCTTCATGTGCTATTCTCTAGTGTTATGTTTGGTAGTCACTTGCGTCTTTTGTCTCTATTACGTTTTGTTTGTTTCTGTTATTATGATTGTTATTACCCTTAGTTTTTGCTTTAGCGGTGAATTGTGTTTATGTTTGGTTCAGAATATTTTCTCTTGGAAATCAAAGATTGACTGTACAACTGGCTGCCGCTCAACGTGTCGCGAGTTCGTTTCCCGCATGGAACAATAATTTGTGTGATCCTCAAATTGTTGTTCCGGGTCTGGGTGTGATGTGTATGTGAAATTGTAAAATTGTATGTTTGTAAACGCACAAATTCTAGAGCAGGGCGAGGTTTTATTGTTTTGAAAAAAAAACACATTGATGTATTAATAAGACACTATAATAATGCATTTATAAAATCATTTCAAACAATGATTGTAACGATTGGCGTATCCACAATTGATAATACAAAATTGAACAAAAACTTGCACGAAACAATATAAATATCACATTGCGAATTTTCACGAATTGGGGTGATATTATTATAAGCGTTTAATGCAATTGATGCCAGTTCATAAATTACATCGAAACGAAAGCAGACTATGATTAATTCGGAAAACGCGCACCGGATGATAAATAACTGAATTGTATTGGATTGTAATGAAAATACGTACAAATACAACGAAGAAGGCTTTGATTAATTAATTGGAGAGTTTGTATTTTTAGGTAGTATCTCCCATCTGCAGAGCGCAGGAATTGTTGATACAGTAACTGTGATTTCAAAGGAATGGGATGTGGGATTTTAGAAATTAATTTTATTGGAAATGGAATTCGTTTCTTTAGAATTTTCCTCTTATTTATTTTTTTCAAATTTATATTAAAAGAAAGTCATGGAGTTACTGGATTAATTACATTTCTTAGTTGGAACTAATCTTACTGAAAAGAGTCAATTGACACCGGTCAAATAATAATAAAGAACACAGTTTTATGTCGTCAAGACGAGAAGGGAAGAAAGGATTCCCGCATCTCGTCCTTAATCCTCAAATTTTGTAATATTCAGATCCTTAACTACCAAAAAGGACCGCCAAATGCTTACCATCAGACTATCCGTATGCCTATTTACCGAATAATCTTATGAAAAAATGAGTTAATTTATTCTTTCTAAATACTGTGATTTCAAGCGCGCACAAAATAATAAATTAAATCTCCCTTGAAGCAATCTCGGTACATTTTTCTACGCTATGAAATTTTGTTAACGCCATAACGGTCCAAGTTTAGCCTAAACTACCGCATCTTGTACAATCCGTACCTACATATAGGATGGTCAATCCCAATAGAGCACTTAGTCGTACCATTTAGAAAAGATAAAATGGACCTTAAATATATTTTTCTCTTAAGTTGAAAATATTACATGGCGTCGTTGGATTATCGTAATGTCAGTACATAACAAGCGAAACGTAAGGTATAGTGAAAAAACTGGTCAAAAAAAAACCACAGAATATATAAATTTCGAGAAAATAGTCAATTACATTATTTCGATAAGAAAACCCTAAAAGAATTTTCTCGTCATTTTCGAATTTCATAAGTATTTTCTTTTTTATTTAGTATCGAAATTTTCAACACGTATCATATCGGTAAAACCTACAAAAGAACTGAACTAACTGAAATAATAACGATGAAAACAGTTTCTTCTAGAAGCCTTAAAGGTTTTCTTCTAACAATCTGAACAGCTTAAGTAGTTGTCAATAGCTAATCAAGTCTACAATTATTTGGCGTAAATAAATAAATAAGTCATCTCCTTTATTTTATATTAAAATGTCAATGTCATTCGCACTAATCACAATAATGAACGTTATATTATTAAATATTTTTAAATCTAAATCAAATTTAATACTTTAAACTCAATCAATATGTGTCATTTTTTACCTTAAAGTGTATTTTGATAAATAAATGTATTTATACATTTCCATCTCTTGAAATCACCAAACCGCTATAGCCAAGCGTGTTAATCAATGTTCAAATCTTCTCCCTGTCAGAAGAGGCGTTTGATCAGCAGTGGGTACTTATGTAGCCTGCTCATGATCACAATGTGTAATTTTTTGATCTTTCCCCAGCTAGATTATAACTTGGAATAATGCATGGGAAACGCGGGCGAAGCCAATAGTACAAGCTATAGTATTATTATGTTTGCAACCACATCTGCCTCATTAATAATACTTATATAACTGTTATAAGGGGCAATTTAGCTATATGTACACACTTATATACATTTATACATATTTACAAGAAGTCATCAATCAAGTGTTGTTCGGAAACTGTTGATAGTCCATCGTTAGATCGTTTTTTTTATTGCGTAGGTCTGCTATTGATCTGTCGGATACTCGGATGGTAAGCCATTGGCATCGCCCATGGACATCCACAACATGGAGAGAAATTACAAGCGTGATGCCTTTTGTGGTTTGTAAAGGATTTGAGGTTTGGAGATTGGGGAGTTTAGGATCGGGGTGGAAAGAAGATTTGGGTATCTGGTAACCTCATACGACGAAGTAGGACTGTAAGCAAATGCTGTCAACGGCTGAGTTTCGTAACAGTATAGTTACAACTGTGTTAGCGATTTCTTGAGTAATGGCATAATTTAGAATTGTGGGTTGGCATTGAGAGTTTATATTATTATTTGTAAATATTAGGATTATGGATAAGGTTCGCGAGGGAAGACACGCAAACTTAATGCTAGCGTAATTTCACGGCAGTGATTCGTAAGACCATGGTTCCTGTCGAGACGAGTCATTCATTAGGCTCCTCCACATGGAAAGTTTATCAGCTTTGAACCTATTTAATGCAGTTATAACAGGCTTTATAAGTAACTTTATTTCTTAAAGACAAAGCCAACCTGAATTGACGATAGAATTTCCACCTACCTGTATTTGGTCAAGAAAGGTTACATTATTTTATCAACGAGCTGTTTGATAAGAGATTTATAGCCGAATTTGGTCAGGGTTGCTTTGGTCCTCTAGAGTTCGCAAGCGCGGAGATTGAACTGAATAATGAAAATTTTAGAACTTCGTGGAACATAATTTAAATTGAATTAAAGTTTATGTTGTAATATTGCCACAAGGATCGTTAAAAGACTGGGTACATATTTCACTACTACTCTTAATCGATACATTATTGAAATTTTCAAAATGTTGAGATTTCTATGAATTTTGTACATGTGTTGAGTCGATATGTGTTTTTAATCTTCATCAAAGAAGATGCTCCAAGAAACGAATATTAAGTATATCGTAAAATCAATCAAAGAAATTAACATTTTCTAACGTACAAGGTATGATATTAAAATCAATTAAAATCATAGCCATTATCATTACATCTTATCACATAAATTTTCTTTGATTATGTATATATAACTTACTATCACCTAGAACAACAAAAAGTAAATCGATTTGTTCCTCAGAGTTTCTCAGTAATTCAATGCTTTAGTGGAACTAATAATGAAACGGTTTTGCCTCGTTACGGCTGCATGCAGTTTTAATCGGAGCTAAAACTTGCCACCACCTGTTCACTTGGATATTGATTAATCGACGCAGCGTTTCTCCGAAGCGGATTTTTATATTTCTACTCGTCTACTCGTCTACTCGTCTACTCGTCTATTGGTCTTTTCATTAAGAGTTTTCTCAAGAGTTGATTAAAAATTACTATCCGCAATATCGGTTGAAAAACTCTCTTAAAATTTGTTGCAAAATATCTTATATAAAATATTGTGTAATAAATATTATTGAACATGTTTTGAATATCAGAAGAAAAACATACAAGATGTTTTTATTTGAAACTAGATTTTGCCCGCGACTCTGTTCGCGTGGAATGGTAACTTACTGCAGATTTTTGATATAAAAACTATCCTATGTCCTTTTTCGAGTTTCAAAGTATGTCTATACCAAATTTCACAGGCTTTGTTAGTATTATAAGTTTTGTTAATATTATTACAAGCTTTGTTAATATTATACTTAAAAATATGTACTAAATTTGTATCTTCAAGGAATATCAGTTTTTATGCTATTAAATTATAACCTTTCATTGAGACATTAAAGATTTTGATTTTTACAAAGTTTGTGGTGCGTTATTTATATCGTAAAGTATGTGGTTAAAAAAGTTACATAGATGTCTTTCCCATACTGAAAAATAACCACATTAAAAAATCAAATTAAAAGTACTAGGATTACTTTACTTAATCTTAAAGTATATGTTGTATATGCCTTGTTGTATACGCCTTCGGGCATTAAGTCCGCCTTTGTATATATTTTTTTGTATGTTCATAAAGTGTTAAAATAAATAAATAAAATAAAGTGATAGAATATTAATATATTATATTTTTTATGCTTTTGAAAATGAATGTTTTAATTTCAACTCTGAACATGAGCTATGTACTACACGTAATTAGGCTCGAAACAAGTAAAAGGTTACAATGTTTACTAGAATCCTTGGTACATAAAAATTAAATATGATGTTTTTTTAAATCATAAAATAATGACTTCATTGTTATTTTTAAAAATACCTCTTCTATGTTGTATTTCGAAGAAAATGTTGAAATGAAAAAAAAAAACTAACCACAGAATATTAAAAAATACATCGAATCGTTACATAAGTAGGTCTTAAACCTAATTACTGCTGGAAGAATTTTTCAAATATTTCTTTAAAAAAAACTATTATTTGCTTTGAGCTAGAAGTAAATTACGTTAAGAGTCTATTATGCTTAATTTAATTAAAATAAAACATTAGTATGAAAGTTTTTCTATTAAGATACTTATTTCTTTTATCGTGGTAAATGTTCTTTCATTATATTATACCCTTTGGCGTTGTTATATGAAGATAGTAAGATGGATGATGTTTCATTTTTCAAGGTTTATTTTGTTCTTAATTAGTTTTTATCTTTTTTACATGTGGTGGTCGTATGTAGAAAGGAGATACATACATGATTGTTATTTTTAAATAGTGAATTTGATGATATCAGGATTGGATCTGAAGTAATTTTGGTTGTTTTTAAATATTGTGTAACTAGCTTTTGCTAGTGACTTTATTCGAGTGGAATAAAAACTTCCTGCAGATTTTCGATTTAAAAACTATCTATAGGTATATCCAATTACCAATTTTTTAAAATACTTTACTATACTTAAAAAACTTGTAAGAAAAATGACCCCTATTATTGCAGTCTTATCAGTTTTTTTTTTGTATTTCGTGCGAAGACAGCTAAATCGTTTTTACCCTAGAACTAAAATACAGACCCGCATCACAGCCAAACATCCAACGTATCTAACAAAAAGTTTCTTTACAGATAAAGCGCCGTCCGAGGCAACGTTCCGAGGGGCAGAATTTCTGTCATACGATCTGACGCAAACTGGTGGGGAGCCCATAGTCAGCACACAAGACGCCATCTCCCTGTACTTCAAGACGAGGCAACCTAATGGACTGCTCTTTTACACTGGTGAGACATCGCCTTTGCTGTAGTTTTGAGTGTTTTAAAAGCATTCGTTTTAGACGTAGAAGTCTGTGGTATCGCTCTAATTTTGTTTTTGAATTGATTTTCTAATACTGTTAAACTCTCAATGGATCTTGTTTGGTCTCAACCTCATTTTAAATGGTGACTGAAGTGTTTAATTAAAAACTTGTTTAACATTTGGAACTATAAAATAATATGTACATTTGCGACCTCGCGCAACATACTCTGTGGACCATAGACAAATGATTTCTTTCTTTTTTTATTGTTAATTTAAGTAGGTACCTATTATATGTATCATTTAGTTTACATTACATTATCAGTACAGTTATTTTCTGTTTTTTAGTATTTTTGTTTTCTGTGTGTGCGCTTGCGCAAAAATATAAATGTTTTTCTTTCTGTCATTTGCTACGTAAAATTCTTGTAACTATCACTAAACAACATGTTAATAAAAGTTCCTTAAATAGAGTATTTAATGAAAACAAAGAACTAAGAATATTGCACAAAATAATCTTAATTTACATCTTAACTACTTATCTAATAAAAATAAATCCTTACTTATAAGGTAAACACTAGACTGCATAATAAATATGTTCAGTATCGCTACTTATTCTGAATTCACTAAAGATTTTCTCGAGGTAGAATAAGAGGGACGCGAATTTATAAAGGGTAATTTACTTAATGAAGTCTTTTGAATTCAGGTCATGAAGCTGATTATCTCAACCTGGCTGTGCGAGATGGCGGTGTGTCACTTACTATGGGACTCGGCAATGGTAAACAGGAGATGCACATTAAGCCAGCTAAGACGAGGTTCGATGACCACCAGTGGCATAAGCTGACTGTTCATCGGAGGATACAAGAGGTAAGCTTTCTTTTAGCGGTATTTTGTACTATCTAATAAATTGTCCCATAGTTACTCGTAAATGGTATAGGAAAACTAAATCGAGGTTGATAGGCCAGTTGAGTGTGCATAGGTAAATTATATTAGGAGTGAATATTGGGAGTGAAATGTAAGGTTTATTGGTTTAAATTTGCCAGCTTTGCTAGAGTATTGTAGCATCACAGAAAAGCGATATGAGGCAAGGCTTGCGTTGCTTTTCCTTATGTGATGTTACTGTAGGCCCAACCTTAAAGCATCAAATGACTTCTCAGGGAGTGTCAGACTCTTACTTACTAAAAACGCCCCGTTCCTTCTCCTGCTCTGGGCCGAGGTCGCGGTGCCTCATTGCGCTTACCCCGCAAACCCCGGCTAAAGCTTGAGCGTGCGGCTTACACCTCAAAGAGCCACCAGACTACCACAGATGGGGGTCAATGTCCAGACGGGGTAACAAGTGCAAGCGTAGAAATGTACCGTGGTCCTGGAGCAGGCGAAGGAACAGGATGGTTTTAAGTCAGGGAGAGTCTCACACTCCTTCTTTCTTACTAGAAAGTAACTGGCTGATTTACTTTCCAAAAACAAAAATTTAAAGGCTAGCGATAAAGATAAATTTCTCTGCTGTTGCATATTTGCTTATAGGTCTCAAGTTGCGCGACATCTGGCGCTGGTAGTAACATGATTATATTTTAGGACCTTAGACGCTTGAACTGCTAATTTCTTTACCTTGAACCCAAATCGATATAACGACTTATAGCCTATTGGCGTGTTCTATCTAAATCTAATCTATCATTCATAGTATTTCTGAAAAAAGCAACACTGATTCATACCCTAAGTAATTTGATTGGTTAAACCGAAATGTTGTTTTTTTTTTAACATTGGCTGTGAGCATTTGATGAGCGAATAATGAGGTTCTATACTCAATAATACATTAAGTAGGCAATATAAAGTTTGATCTAGCAGTATGATGTAATACTTTAGATTTGTTCCTTTTAATGGGGTGAATATCAAAGGCCTTCTCGCTCTTGGGTAGAGCAAGATAAAGAGTAAGACTTACTGATTAAAGACTACCCCATTCCTTTTCCTGCTTTAAGTCAAGGCCGCGGTACGTTATTGCTCTTACACCAACAACCTCTTCTGTCGTCTTTTAATGTTAGAAATGAGGCTTCCGATTATAATTCCAATAAAAAAATAGAACGATTATAATTGTGTTCTAAGAATTACTATGATAACATTATCTACTCTTAAAGATAGATACTCAAGAAATCTTGGCTACTTTTCTATGTTCTTTACGAAAGGTTGTTATAATTTAACAAATTGATTCTACCTTACAAAATCTATTTATGTAAAATAAAATCAGAATGATTCCTTTAGTCTTACAAGTGTTTTGGTATGCCGAACGTAATTAAAGGAAATCGATCTTATGACCTACGTAATTGGGGTAATTTTGCGGCGATAAATTTCGTTGGCGGTGGAATTGAGTGTGTTTCCTGTGTCGGCTCGGAGTTGTGGAGTGTTTGAACGATCACCGTTCTACTGGAACGTTAGTAATTAATTTAGTAGAATGCATGACGGAACATGAGTTCTTTGAACGTGTTTTGATAGCATGACTGATGGTTTAGGTACTTTGATCGGTTGAAAATATGAATTTTAGGGCTTTCTTTATGTTTTCCAGCTTAGATGGTCTTGTTAGAAATGCTGACCGATTTTTAAAGGCTGTTGTTCTTATTGCCGTATTTTTGTATAGCTATTGAGTCCCCTGGAAGTTTGTGACTCTGAGGAACTGCTATTGGTTTTGGTCTTGACTTAGTAATGAAATAAAAAAGTCATTATCATGCTTTGCCTGTTTTTTTGGGTCAAACTCGTAATGCAGTACTTTCAACCATTGAGTAACAAAAAAACACGGAACACAATTAAAAGGTTAATAAAAAACCTCATTCCATAATTGAAATTCGAATAAAAAACATTTAAACTCTTTTCGCAGTGTGTAATAATCAAATTATTTAAAAAGAGAAACACATCGACGTTGCATTTCGTAATTTCGCTTTCGCTGTTTAATTTTTATCCTCGAGCCTGACATGATTACGTGTGCTATGAAAAGCTGATAGTTCTGAAAAACAAAATTGAACAATAAATGTGGAGTAATTTTATAGGTAGTTGGTTTAATCCGTACTCGACGTTGATGAGAGGCAGCGACACGTGATGTTATGGCAATGTTTGTAAATGAAAAGTGAAACTGAGCTTTGTTTATCGAACAGCTTTGTTATGTAATTGGGCCTTTTTCTAATAGACTTTTTATCTTGTTTTTTTTCATATCTGTATTAAATGGCCGTTTATTTTATAGTTTTTTTAATCGGTGCACAAGTAAAGAAGTAAAGATAGGTTGGTTTTATGTCATATCAACTTACCAATAACAAATCGTTCAAGTGAACTGAACGTAGTGAACGAGGCTCAAACCGCCCCGTTAATAGTTTATTTACGTACCGCGTGTGAGGCCCGCCATCCCTAGCCATTCCGTTATCGTTAATTATGTATTATGTGGGCCTTTCTCATTCTTTGAGAATATTGGAAGCTTATCGGGACTGTTGGACTTGGACTGGACTGTTGACCTGGATTGAATGTGTAGATTTATGAAGTTTTTTATGGTATCGGCCGGCAAATGTATAGACGGATTACCTTATGGTAAGCAATCGGCGACACACATGGAGAACCGCAACACCAAAAGAGTTAAAAGTGCGTTGCCGGCCTTTTAAGGGTAAGGGATTCGGTTTGGGAAGGGATGGGGGAAGGAGATGGATTGGTCCTTCGGTAACCTTACTTACATGGCGACACACAAAGCTTTGGTTGTAACACGATGGTTTTCTGTGAAACAGTGGAACCACTCATTCGTGCCGAAGCTGCTTGCTCTCCCACACTTCAAGCAATGTGATAGATTAGGTTCTTGACCGCGTTGTAAGGTCAAAGTTCGACGTGGTCCTTCGATACGAGATTTGGGCGGTTATGATTTGGGTTTGGCGTTTGATCGAGATTAGTGATTCTGAAAAAATATCGTTATGCTTTTAGGCACGTGCGAGGCTGAATGAACACTTCTTTTGGACAGTGTGCTAAACTGATCGAGATTGATATACAAATGTATTAAGTACAATGGTTTGAACATGAAATATGAAAATTTTAATATAGATCATATTCTAGTGAAGTTGTGTAAGAGATTATCAATTCTATTTTTATGACAAAATGATTTACCTTGGCTAATCTGATAAAATATCGGAATACAATTTTGCTGTAGCAAAAAAAAAATAAACAATATTTCGTGTAAGATGACTTTGCATTTCATATTAATTAAATATTCATAATGTCGTAAAAAACATTTGTCGAAATTCAAAATTGTGCTTTAAATTCTTTTCGTTAGGATATCATTTGACGTGGCACATTGTTTCGCATACTAATGAAGCGTGTTATTGTTTCAGATCACGCCGTTCACGAGTTTCTGCAGGGTGAGTTGTGTTAATTAATATTGTTACCAAATCTTCCTTAAGACTTCCGCTATCTTTGTCCTTTAGTAGCAACGGGATAGCTGATTAAAATTCGAATTTCGAAGGTGTTCTAAAATTAATATTGTTCAGGATATGACATCAATAATGTTTACTTGAGTACGTGTTAGGAGAATTTTCACCATACCGGTGTTAAAGTCGGAAACATAACGCCTTGGTTATTTCTGTGAGGCCGTGGCTGAACCAACCCGTTTGTGCCGCAGCATGATTTTCCCACACTTTAACCTAGACCTCTACCTAGATTTAAATTATCTGGTGTTAAAAAAACGGTAGCCCCATTGCAATACGTATATCGGAGAAAAAATTCTGATTAAGTCATCCAATCATGACTGGTTGACATGGAATGACTATCCGTTTGATTGAAAAGCTAATTTCTCAATTAGGCTGTATGTTGAAGGGTGAATAGATTGTCATGAGATCCATGTTGCTACAAGAACCGGTTGGTTATAAGTCGGCAAACAAGCAGACAGATTACCTGATGGAAGTCAATCGGCACCGCCCATTGACACCCGTTACATCGAAGGAGTCACGAGTGCGTTGCCGGATTTTTGGGGACAAGGGTTGCGGGGGAAGGGTTGGATATTTCAGGATTGAGAAGGGATAGGGGAGGGGTAGGGATTGGGCCTTCAGTAACCTCACTCACACGGCGGAACACAACGCTGTGGTGTTTCACGCCTGTTTTCTGTGAGGCCGTGGTATCACTCCGGTCGAGCCGACCCATTCTTGGTCGAATCTTGGCTCTTCCACACTTGGGTTAGGTTAGAAAAGCAAAGAAATCGTATCGCTATTGCACATAAACGCCTATTTAAATTTTACAGCGATCAAAGTGCTACCTGATTGATTGAAGGCTATTTTACCCGGTTGGCTCTGACATTTCATATACGTATGTAAAGTTATTTTCAAATCGTTGTTACTAACTTCGCTAATATCCAAGGTTTTCTTTACACGAATCAAAGTAACTTATATTATCAATTTGCCTAAGTAATGACTGTAGAGCTGTAACAGGAATCGTATAACTAATTACTGCAGCACTCCTCGAAATATGAATTCTCTAGAATTCATTTTACTACAGGTAGACAATTTGATTCAATTCGGGAAAGTTCATTAGGGAAACTGAGTAATTTTACTAATGTTTTGTAGAAACTTCGTTTAAACTAGGTGTTTTAAGTTACGTAGACACGTGGTCTACGTAACTTAAAACACCTAGTTTTTATGTCTTACCATCGAATGGGAGTCAGGTTTGATTCTCCGACCGAGTAAAGTACAACCTTCACTATTATCTGGAAATAAACAGTGCAGACTCAGAAGCGATTGTTCATAATCATCATCAGCCTATAAGTGCCTTCTACTGAAGAAAGGCCTCTTCTCACTTTGAGAAGGTTTGAGCATTAATCACCATGCTTTCTGAAGGCGTTGTCGTGGTGGCCCGGAGGTTAAGGTGTCCGCTTCTCATGCATGAGGGCGTGGGTTCGAAACCTGGCAAGTACCAATGTGACTTTTTCCGAGTTATTTGTACTTTCTATGATTATTAAGACACCACTGACATACGGTGAAGGTAAATATCATGAGGAAACCTGGACTTATAATTTCTATTTATAAGTTTCAAATCGCCAACTCGCATTGAGCAAGCGTGGTAATAAATGCTCTAACCTTCTCCGTATGAGAAGAGGCCTTTGCTCAGCAGCGGGCACTTATAGGCTGATGATGATGATGATGATGATTTCTGAAGGCGGATTGGCGATTTCAAACTTATGGTTATAAATTCACGATTACGATATTTTATTTATTAGTGTCTAAACAACCATAGATAAACATCAACATACAAAATAAAATCACCCCTGTTCATTTGCTCCATGCCAAGGCCCTGGTCACATTGTCACAGACTCAAACAAGATCCCCTTTTAAAAATCTGTGAAATGTCAATTAAATTTATCAGCTTATATCTCCAGGCGTTTCTTTTCATTCTAGTCACTGCTTTCGAAACTCCATCTAGACGGTCGAAGTTAAAAATAGTTCTTGAATTAAAACTTGCGTGATTTAAAAGAGTCGTTCTGCGTTAATGGGGGCGCCACTGTCGATGAATAGAAGGGTCACAATGAACGCTCCACAATAGGCGAGAGATGAAATAGAATTTATATGTGAATAGTTTTATTGCGGTTTCAATTAATTGACGTAATTTGTATAAGGATATTAATATTATTTGTACTTTTTGTGATAGGACATATTATTCTTATTAAAATTATTTGTGACTTTGTGGACAGTAAGAGTGTTGTTTATGTAAGTGTCAATAATTATCCAGTCAAATCTAGTTGAAGAGATATAGTCGTTAGTTCGTTATTGTAAAGGTGTTATTGCTAAAAGAAGATCCTATTTATCCTTCTAACAATGGTTTAGTGTACAACATTTAACAAGCCAATTAGATTGGTCATTTATTTAACCCGTGATATGCCGGAGCGCAGATATACGCGAGACACAATGTGCTTTGTATTGTGTCTCATATACCGGCAGACAAGAGGTTAATCATTAAATTTATCTGTTAATATGGAGGTAGAATTACTCCTTATAATACGCCTTGGTCCAAAAGAATTACCTTAATTATATCCTCATCTCATATTAGAAATATGTAATTCACAAAACTAATACTCTTGTAAGTTTCAATACATTACAGTAGCGAGTATGAGACGGACAAAGACTCATTCACGCGAGTAAAGTCGTGGATAAAAGCTATTGAACATCTAATACGGAGGGACACTAATTATACACCTCCTAATCCAAACCTGTCACCACCAACCACTAGATTAATGAAACAAAGACCAGCGTTTCCATCTTGATTTTTCAATTAAAAAAAGAATAAAGTGACAAATGATAGCTATTTTAATTTTTCATTAAACTGTAATGGCTGTGCTGCTAACTGCTGGTGTAATGTCAATTTATTATTGATTGATAGATTAACGATGGACAGGTGTTTGAGGTTCACAGTAATAGACTGTCATGTTGGTTTAAACTCTAGTCCATTTTGAAAACAGAAAGATTCTACTTAAACCAGTATCTGTACAGTATCAGGTTATTAAAGTAGCCTACATCTTATAGTTGGACTATAATCTATTTATGTGTCAAATTCCATTCGGATCCGATTAGTAGTTTGTACTTAAAGAAGTAACAAAAATTCATTTGTACTTTTAAATTTTACGTTTATAATATTAGTAGGATAACCTTGATATAAGTTTGTAAAGAAAACCGTATATGGCATTACATTTTTTTTTTAATGTAATATGTAGTCAAACGAGCAGACGGATTACCTGATGGTAAGCGTTGCCGACCTTTTAGGGATTAGGGATTGGGAGATTTAGGGATTGAGGAGGGATTGGGGGAGGGGAAGGATTGGGCCTCCGGTTACCTCACTCACACGGCGAAACACAACGCTGTGGTTATTTAACGCCGGTTTTCTGTGAGGCCGTGGTATCACTCCGGTCAAGCCGACCCATTCGTGCCGAAGCATGGCATTTAGGTAACCTACAATTTTGCTATTAGTAATAACTTTCTTCATAAATCATCATCTTCATAGAGAAACAATTTCGGAACAACCCGTTCATCTCCAAATAAAGTAAATTATATCGACATCCCCAACTTTAATGAAGAAATCAAAAACAATAAATAACTCACCCCGACCGAGCACACAACAACAAATAAATGAATATTTATCGGTGCATTTTTTAAACCCAATAAACGGGCAGCTGGCGACGTTATGAATAAACTGATCCAATTAGTGTGGTGTTTAATTACGAGTTCCTTTGTCTTTTGCAAAACAATGGATTTTTTTTAAAGTAGACCCAGCCCTGGTGTTTGCTCATGAATCAGCTGTAATTAAAGTCGTGGAATGGGAATGTTAATTTTTTATTGACCTCAAAGTTTTGGTTTCTGGATGATATAATGCGAGAGGAGAAATTTATTTTAGTTCTGAAAATGAGTTTTTTTTTTATGTAATAAGTCGGCAAACGAGCAGACGGATTACCTGATGGTAAGCAATCAACCCGCAACGGAGGAGTTACGAGTGCGTTGCCGACCTTTTAGGGATTAGGGATTTGGAGATTTAGGGATTGGGGAAGGGTCCGGGAAGGGGAAGGATTGGGCCTCCGGTAACCTCACTCACACGGCAAAACACACCGCTGTGGTTGTTTCACGCCGGTTTTCTGTGAGGCCGTGGTATCACTCCGGCACATATCTTTAAAAATGGAAACATGTGACTATTAAAAAGTCGTGGTGTAGTTTAAATTGAAATTGAACTAGTTGTGTATGAATGTGTGAGACACTTAGAATAAAACAGTACAAGGTGGAACAGTTGGCGATTTAAAGCATTATGACTACTACACGGATGAACAAGATTTCTAAAACAATATCACTAAGGAAACACTTTAAAAAATGTTATCAATATTACCAATATCAAAAAATCCAGACAATTAGAGGCCACCAAAATAAATAAAAACATGCGTATATTCAATAAGTGAAATGTAATTAAAGAGTATGAATAGGTAAGTGTAATCTAATTGCCAACCCTGATAGTAATTATTTCGCCATAGACTCGTTCCGTACGTTCAATACACGACAGACGGTACAGTTCCCAGGGTTGTTACACAATTTGAATTTATTATTGGCCACTCGCTCGATCTTGATGATTTAAAGTGAACATTTTGAATTACAAATTGTATTGATATTGGTAAAGTGGTAGGTTTCGTAGTGGTTGAGGTTATAGTGTGGTGTGATGAAAGAGTAAAACTATGGATTTTTGAAGATTGTAGAAAAAAAGCTTGTTAAAAATAGGGTGCATACATTGAAAAATTACAAGCAAATTTTTAAATTGTTATGCTAAGTAATTATTATGAAAATGGAGTTAATAATAAAATGAACGCTAGAAACAAAATAATCATAATTTGGCAATTTAAGTATCGTTCAAGAAAAGAGCGTATTCCTTCCTATGACGCAACTGTAAGTCTTGTGGTGTCGAAGGTGTTTATCGCTTACCAATTCGTCTGCCTGTTTGAAACCTCATAAATATAACTCATTCATTAGAGACGCATTTGTTTAACAGACGTATAGTAACAGGATAATGATGATGATGGTTACAACACAGCAAACTACAAACACGTTAATATAAAAAAAAAATCGACAGATGAAACGCAAAATTTTAATCTCACCGACCAATTTATCTCAAACTTCATAAAGAAAAATAAAGAAGTACTGGAAGCAGATATTTCACAAAACTTAGTTACTGCAGGAGCTGTTAGTTCGCCAGATATTATTATCCTTTGCAGACGAACAGATAAACCGATCGCAGACTTTCTACTTGAAATATGAGAAAAGTGAAACAATTCTTTTTAAGGTTTAATGGAAAATGATGATCCGATAGTTGGTGAAGTTGCCTGTTCTTTTATAAAGATCGGACGGTTTATATCTGAGGTATAGAAATAAAATGCTGAAGAAGGTTTAGACGCAGCAGTAGATAATAGTGAAGATATAGAGGACATTATTGTACACGCTATGTGCATTGAAGGAATTAGAATCTGTTTCTCGTCTTAACTGTAATCAATGTTTAGTATGCTTTTGTTTTCAGTGTTTGCAAATGAAAATGCTTCTATTTTTTGAAATATAATAATATTTTGTAGTAGACAAGATTAATAAATGTTATAAATAACTTTTGATTCTAGTACTCGTTGATGTTTGTTCATCATCGTCATCGTCTGCGTCTTATAGTGTTTACAGTTAAACAAAGGCCTCTTCTCACACTGAAAAGGTTTGAGCATTAAACATCACGCTTGCTCAATTTAAACTTATTGACCTTGATATGGTACCTTGATTGATTGAATTATAAGTTCTGGTTACCTCGCCATGATTTCGTTCACAGTCTATCAGTGGTGTCTTAATGAACTTAAAAAAGTACATTTTACTCTTAAAAGTAACATTGGTACTTACCAGATTTCGGACTCGCACCTTCATCCACGAGAAACGTCTTCAAAAAGTCTTCATCTTCGAGCCACCGCGACATTTTATAGAAGTTGTCTAGTAGTAGTTACTTGTATTGAAATTTAAAAGTCAAACAATTTAATTTAGATTCATATCACACTTAGAACCTAATATACTTTTGAATTCCCAAAAGGTAGACTTTCGCTAGTTATTACAAATTCAGATAATTTTCTCTTGCTGTCCTTTGAAGAATATTATTGATGCAAATTCAGGGATTATGAAATAGTTAGTGCTGTACGTGACTGCTTTTAAATTGGGATAATGACAAATTTTATGTGTTTTGAAAGTAATCATCATTAATTCTATGATTTTATTTTTATATTTTGTTTTCTCCAGTATCCTTCTGTTATAAATATGTCTTAGCAATTGTTCCGTGTAGAATCAAATCCACTTTGAATTTAAAAATATTTTGGGTAATAATGTTGCCTTGATAGTGTGTAGTTTTTTTTAATAAATGCAGCAATGCATCATAAATCATACAGTTATGCCATAAAAATAAATCACAGGGGACACAAAACATTTTGCGGGGAAAGTAATATTTATTTTTCATACATAAATAAATATAAAAACAATATTGCCTTGGTTTTTATAAATTCAATCAATTTATGCTGAATGAGAGAAATCTAGAAACTGTCACAGCTTCTGGCAAAGGCAATGAAGCGACGGCATAGAAAATAGCATTCTATTTACACAGCCGGTCTTCAGAGGCGGTCATGGTCAAAAGCTTCAAGCCCACAGAGGTTGTATACGTGTATATTTTATGACGTCATCGTCCGAGAATAAAGCTGACGTCCTAACGAACTGAAGCATGTAACAGACCATAGAGTCCCAATAAAAGAGTAGAGTACTGGGAGAATGAGCAATGGACTTATTTGACTAGAGACAATTCTAAAGATTAGTAAAAAAAACTGAAGTAAATTATCTACACATATTAATATTATAATTAGGAGTTTATTTGAATGCGCTAATATCGTGAACTGTTATTTCGAATTGTATATTTTTGTGTTAACAAACCTTTATCGAGGAAGGCTGTAAAACATGCTACGATCAATAGGAATTGAGCAGCGAGTGAAACCACTTGAGAGTAGCTAGTAGAAAGCTAAAATGCCATTAAGATGTTTTTCTGGTTTCTTTTTGTAAATATAATATGCACGATAAATTACATAATCACTTAATAAGTAACCTTAAGATCTCCCGTATAGCCCTTATGAAGCTAAGTTTTAGGGTTATAAAATAAAACCTTAACGCTAGGTCCATTAGTTCCTTTTCGGTTCTATTTTTCTCCTATCCTTAATGTCGTATCAGTTTAACAATACAAACATCTGGTCACTTATAAAGTGTCCATCCAATATGTTTTACGAGTAATAATAAGTTCAAAAGCAACTTCTACAGCGTCTGTGGTTCGATATGAAAAAAGTTTTGTTTTTACATTTATTAACAAACTTCGAGTGGTTACGCTTTTGCCTGTAAGGAAGGTAATTACGTCATTTATTTTTAATGAAATCGTAAATTGGGGATATCGTAAAATTCGCTCTTGATTGGGGTTTGAACGGATGAAATGTTTAATGGAGAAGAAAAATTTTAAGCGCCTGTTTCACTGCCTTCTTATTATAAGTTCTCGATTTACTCACACACACGTATAAGGCAAATAAAGATCTATATTTATCTACTACACATTGACTAAATATAGTTATAAATACTTATAACTGAATATATCTATATGTGTTGCTCATTTTTTCCTTTAGTTACCACAGTCTCATTCAGTCATTAAAACAATTTACTTTTACATTACCTACTAGTTTTGGCCCGCAACTTTGTTGACGTGGAATGTTATTTTTATTTTTATTTTTTGAAATGAAAACTCCCCTATGTCCTTTCTCAAGTTCCAAACTATGTCTGTACCAAATGTCACACAAATCGGTTCAGTTGTTGAGGCGTGAAGAACAGACTGACAGATAAAGTTACTTTCTCATTTACCTATATAATATTAGTTTTAATGATTTCAGTTATCTTAAGCCATTCAACTAAGTGACATCCTGGTTTCCAAGTTCCTATAATTCTGTTATCTTCCACAGGTATCAGCAGTAGTGGATGATGTCTACTCAGATCACTCGCACGTGGCTGGTTCCTTCACCATGTTGGCTTCATCCAGGGCCCATGTTGGAGGGTCTCTCAACGCCAGGGCTCTCCCTGGAGCCAGGGTCCATACCAACTTTATTGGATGTCTGAAGAAGGTGAGGAAATAAGTATTGTAATAAGTCTTTGGAATAAGAAACATTTTTTTCAATATTATACTAATTGGTGTTAAAAACCTTGTATAGTGTATTTTAATATCTGTTGTGCATTACAGAGCTACCATCTTTTTTCTATTATTATTATTATAATAATGACCATCTGTCTGTTTAACATATGTATATCTTAATTTATGTTGTAGACACTACCAGTTGCTTAGCAATAAATAAGTTTAATACTTCTATTGGTATTTTGTGCACAAAAATTAACCATTTGTATTAGGGAAATAGCACAAATAGAAAGTTAAAAATTGATACTCCGGAAATAGTACAAATATATATAAATGATAATTGTGTTATATGAGCAAAATATATCATTATCTCTTCAAATTTTATCCAAGATACGTAGGTTCTCTAAGAAGGAAGAATTGCCGTAGAAAGCAAGGATCACGTGCAGGCTTTATACAAAAGTGAAAATCAATTCTATGTGTGTTCAAATTTACGCGATATTTTGAATATGCGATATATATTTTAGACTTTTATTCGACGTCGCACAAAAAATGCTTTTACTCCAAATTCAATATTCAATTTTAAAATGGCAATACTGTCCCCAAGTCTGCTATTTTTAAAGAAAACTGCACGCGACTCCGTTTTTGAATATATGATTTTTGCTAAAGTATAAACAGTGTATATATTTAGTTTGAATCGATTTCGTTTGTGCATAGTATGAATTGGTTTAATATTTAAATCATAGTAATATGAAAAATTAGGTGCGCCACTGCTGGCGCTCGCTTAGTTTGTGATGAATTATAAGTAGTAACTAAATGATATCATTTGTTATCCACGATATATTTTTGCAGCAGACAGTCAAATAATTTCAAAAATGCTTTTTCTATTATATTTTTCTTGATATTTAATTTATATAAAATCAATTGCCAAACTGCAAAAACTCTTGATTAGAAAAAGGTTACAATGCTTAAAAGTTTAAAGTAGCCAATTACAGGTTATCTTGACAAGTAACAGAAAAAAAAGAAAATTTTCTTGGAAATGTCCTATTGTTGGACTAAGATTTTCAATCACTAAACTTAACACTTCTAAATGTTTATTATTTTTAATGTAAATCTTTATTTTTTTAATTTTTTTTTATTGTGTAGAGACAACAAACAGCTACACCATAAATAGTGTACACAGGCATTATAAACAAAACTTGATGTAACAATGCAGCCCACAATGTTATCCACAAATTAACAGAACATTATAAACATGGATAATAATACAACTTAAGCTAAAGATACAAAACTATTACTAAACCTTTTTTATAAATAACACTGGTGATAAACTACTTATTTAAAATTATTATTATTAATTATTGATTTATATTCAGGTGATATAAATCTTGTATTGTCAGGTGGAATTCTCAGCGGACACTCTCCGTTTGAACCTCATCGACCTGGCGCGAACTGGCAGCAAGCTGATCACTGTCACAGGACGTCTGGAGTACGCGTGCACAGCTACCGATTCTGCTGATCCTGTTACCTTCACCACTAGGGACGCGCATTTGGTAAGTGGACACTTTTTGGATATTTGGACTGCACGGCTTAGTATTTGACCGGCTTTTGAACAACGTATCGTTGTTGCCATTCCCGTATGGAACGAATCTTTATGAAGAGGAAGAGATCCGCAAATTGTTACAACCCAAAGAAAAACGGGCCAAGTGCAAGTCGGACACGCGCACCGAGGTTTCCGTACAAACCTGCAAGGTTTACAAAGTTCATTCATTACGACAATCGAGTCATAACTATGTATTTTTATTGAATTATTAAAAAAAATATATTATGTGATGTAACTAAAAATTTATGGTTTTCGTAATTTTTCCTTTATCTATGCTATAAGACGTAGCTTCGTACCAAATTTCAAGATTCTGAGTTCACAGGACGCACCCTGTAGGTTTTGATTCCCTTGCAAGTGTCGAAAATTTGCGGCATAAACGGCTGTATCTTTTGACTTAGAAGTTTGATTTTTTCACAGCTTCAAGGGACAGTAGACCTGAGTAATTGATATAAATTTCGCCTTCATACCTCCACGCGTTCCTGAGAAAAAGGGTCTTGACAGACGGACGGACGGACGGACAGACGGACAACAAAGTGATCCTATATGGGTTCCGTTTTTTTCCTTTTCAGGTACGGAACCCTAAAAAGTAAAAAACATCCAAACATCATACCTTTCGCATTAATAATATTAGTAAAATTATTCGGTCATTAGGAATAGGATGCCAAATTGCAAAAGCATTTTCATTTTTAACATTAAATCTACCTAATAGAAATAGTTCAATATCACTGCAACACGGATTCTAACGTCAGCCATAATTACTTCCAACAGCTTCATTTAAAAAGGACGACGAAGTCACTTGGTCGATGCCACCCACAATTAACGACCTGGATTGAAAGCACGGAGCTTCATTGAACTATACTAGAAACCTTAATTAAGAGAAAAAGCTTGAGAAGCAATTAAATACCTAGATTACAAATGACCATTCATTTGAAAGATACTAAATGTTTAAACTGAAATTGTATAAAAATCGTTAAATTGACCCTTTTGTTCGATAGAGGAAAATTTTTAAGCAAACATACACTTTTTGTTTTTTATCTCCACTGAAAATTCATTTTAAAACCTACAATAAAGTTTTACTGCTAAACTAGCCAAACAAACGTCACAACGCTTGCCCATTCACTGCTAAAAACAAACATTTGACAATTCATCGAATCCAATATGGCGGATATTACCAATATTTGCTTCCAATTTACCAAAACAAACCGTAAACGGACATTTTAATCAGCCAATACAGCAGCGTTTCGATAACAAAACGCATCCCAGAAGCACTCAATTCATTACTAAACCGTCCGTCCGTTGGTCACAAAACTAAGTACCAATTAAAAACAATGGAAGCTTGGAAAAATCGTGTGGAAACCCCACCCGTTTAAGATGACCGTCGGTCTTTCGAGAGTACTTTAGAAAGCGGACTCTTGAATTTAGTCGAGTGTCACCGGGAACCTGATTAGATCGAAGTGGTGGTTATTTGATTTGAGTTAGGGATGGGTTAGACTATTGATTGAATGGAACGGGTGGCCCGATAGCTGTTAAGTTTCATGTGAAACGAATGATTTATGATTTTAGGCGATCGTTTCGGAACATTTATGAGGAGTAATTATTGGTATTTGTGAGGTTTATGATAGGAAAGTTTCTGTATGAAGATCTTTTAAGACCCTGAATACCATTCAATGTAATTTATAGCTATTTAAGTCTTAATTAGTAATACTGGGTACTTAGAAACTTAAGAAAAGTGGGCCCGACTCAATTAAGATTTTTTTTCAAGAAACACTTCTATAGTTTTGCGTAGAATTTTCTTTAAGGAAAATATTGTTTTTTTTCGTAAAAACATTATTATATAAGTATTATACAATTTCAAAACGAAAAGACTTTTTAAGATCTTTAACCTAGCCAATTTATTCAAATAGGACCAATTCATATTTACTTTCAACTTGACGTCGCAGAGGGCGCTGAATTCGCTTTAAGTCACCTAATGTGTTTATACCAGTTCACAGTAAAAGCATTACGTATTCAGTGACTTCAAAATAAGTACTGACGAAGGCACGTTACACTATAATGATCCAACGTAGCTGAACTGTTATTATGAAGGTTTTTGTTGAGTTAGGGGTCGAATTATGTTGGACGGTACAGTTTGATGTGCGAGGCGATTAAGTGACCTTTTAGTCCAAACAGCGAATGCTTGGTGATTGTACCGTGTGTGTGTACATGACCTTAATCCGTTTTCAAGTTCAGCATTTTAATTTAATGTTGGAATAAGGGTTGGCGTTTTTGCTGAACTATTATTATTGGTTCTAGATTTTAAAGCACCGTAATTAGAAGGGTTAGTCATTAGTTGGGACTAGTTTGTAAAATACATTTTATATATCTATTGCTCGTTTTGTAAAATATTGTGATGACAGGGTTGTAGCGGTAGGTTCTTTTTTATTGTTTGGTTAGTTCTGTTATAAATTGTTTCTATAATGCTTCGAAGTGTAGTATCTGTTCATCACAATTAATGACGTTGTGGATCTTAAGCTAAGGCGCTAGCTTTTAATGCGTGCTTTTGCCGAGTTATATGCATTTCTTAACAATATTGACATATGGAAAAGAATTATATTCTTATGTAACTTGGACTTAAAATTTTAATTATAACACCGAAACTGCTAATTCCGTCTTGAGGCATCGTGCTGATTAATGGGCATACTTTAATCCCGTGACAAGATAATCACAAACATAAAATATAAATCACACTTTTATTTGTTTGGTTTATCTTAAATTTTCACAAAACATTTCTAGTTATTGAAGTCATAGAAGTATCTTTGGTACCTATACCAAAGTTCGTTCTTCAGAAATTGTGAAAACAGAACCATGTTCCTCTTATCTGAAACAATTACTTCCAGTTCTTTGGTATCAGTTAGTGAATATATTCGTACACAACGTATCGTTAGTTTTATTCAGAGTAGAATCTCTCCCAGGCGTCTTTCCGACATATGCCTGCGTCTAAGTGGCGTCACTACACAGGAGGATTGGAAAAGTCTTGTTGAATTATTAACGACCAAGAATTTCAGTGAATTTCTGAAAGAAGGTCCAACAACTTGAACTTGACTGCACGTAGATATCCAACCGGCTGCCGTGCAACGTGTCTTGTGTTCAATGCCCGCACGGAACAACTTTTGTAATCCACAAATCGTTTTTTTTTTTGGGTCTGGATATGATGTATATGTAAAATTGGATGTTTATAAACGTATTCACCACACAAAAAAGTCATAATGTAGGCAACGTACTAAACTGTGGATTACCAAAGCATTATTTTGGTCAATTTGTACGAACATCAACAATTCGTCAATGTTTAAATAGCTACGTTGTGTATATGTGTGATATACATCTATAGCTAGCAGCGTTGTCTTTACTGAGTGAGGTTACCGGAGGCCCTATCCTTTCCCTCCTCTAATCCCTAAATCTCTAAATCCCCAGAAGGTCGGTAACGCACTCGTAACTCCTCTGTTGTTGCGGGCGTCCATGGGCGGCGCTGATTGTTTACCATCAGCTAATCAGTCTGCACGTTTGCCGACCCATAACATAGAAAAGCTACAGTGGTTTAATTTTTTATCTGACTAGCTACTAAGTTGCCGTTTATGTAAGAGATACAGTTTATCTACCTATATCAAAGAGAAAATATATGAATAATCGTCTCACTAGTCCTTCTGAACTTATCTTACCTCATGATAACACACTGAAGGAAATATACCGTTCCTGTGAAGCAGCCCGATACTCGCCATTAAAGTAAATTATTATAACCCAAGTGGGCAGTTAGCTTGAGCTCACTTGCAACTAGCTTTACCCTGGCCTGGCCCTCTCTAATCGTTAGTGTTGAAGTACCTCTAGGATTTCTACTACGATTTATATTCTTGTTATCTTAGTATGGGAAAATATGAATTTGAGAGTGAGTAAAAGTAGTGTGTTAAAAATTTGTGTGGTAACTTCTAAAGAGATTGAATTGTCATCCAGTGCTTCTAGGATTGGTTATTGTTTTTAGCTGTAACCATTTCTTCCATACTTTTTTTTTTAAGTCAAGTAAAGCACAAGCAAAGCACGGTTGGTGCGGTGGCTGGGCAACTGGCTGCCGTGCAACGTGTCGCGGGTTCGATTCCCGCACGTAACAACACTTTGTGTGATCCACAAATTGTTGTTTCGGGTCTGGGTGTCATGTGTATGTGACATTGTATGTTTGTAAACGCAACCACAACACAGGAGAAAATCCTAAAGTGAGGCAACGTTTTTTAAATGATGACCGTGCCGAACGATGATGTCAAGGGTCCTCTCTGTTCATCTGCGGAAGATAATAAGGACGAATAGGCGATTTAAAGATCGTTTAGCTATTTTCTTCCAGTTAATATAGTCATATCGCTCGCTTCGCTATCGCTGTACCAACCCTTATGCTTCACTTGTTGGGGTTAATGGAAATAACTGATTTTAATGTGAAGATAAGGGCGCGGGGGAAATGTGAGGGCCATTCACAACGGACTACGGTACTTGGACGGCCCTTATGTTTCGATTTTTGGTTGCCACGTGATTCATAACGCCTGAATATAGAAGTATTTATTACTTTGCTTTAGGTAGGTGAGTAAAAAGGTGTGGATAATTTTATATGCTGAAATAAAACTGAATCAAAATTTAATTTCTGATTTTATTCTCAATAATATGGGCAATACTAAAAATAAGCCATGTTTAGACACTAATGGATCTTAGTCAAATGTTTTGCAAAAATGAGTAAAAATACGCTCATTCTCCTTATGAATTTAATTACCTGTGAATTACTCGTATTGCTTATAAAATAAAACCTAAAAAAGAACATATTAATTAGAATTCTGAAGCATACGTAGTAATTTAAGTATTAACATAAGTAAAACAAAATTAATTCAATTTAACTCTTATAATTCCAAACAATTGGCTTTAGATATTATTTGTAAAAAAGAAAAAGTAGAACAAGTAAATGAACTAAACTTTTTAGGAGTCATTGTAGACAACCATCTTAACTGGAAGAGTCATGTGGAACATATTTGTCAGAAACTGGATAGGTTTGTGTTTGCTTTAAAAAAATTAAGATAAAATGTTTCTTTAGAAGCTGCTTTGTCGGCTTACCATGGTTATGTGTCATCTGTACTAAACTATGGAGTAATAATGTGGGGCAACTCGACTGATGCCGATAGAGTTTTTAAACTTCAAAAACGGTGCATCCGAGTTATTAACAAGGCGTGGTTCTTAGACAGTTGTAAACCTTTATTTCAAAAATATAAAATTCTTCCACTGCCTTGTATATATATAAAAGATATCTGCATTTTTACGAAGAAACACATGCATTATTTCAAGTACCGCAGTGAGGTTATGTCAAGGCAAAAAAGGGCTAAATTTAATAACCTACTGTATCAACCGCCTGTTCATAAAGATATCTATAAGAAAAATGTGTGTAATATGTGTATTTTGATTTATAATAACCTCCCAAAGGAACTGAAATTGTTACATGGTAATCTATTTAAAATACAATTGACACAGTGGTTACAAAAAAACTGTTTTTATAGTATTAAGGAATTTATAGAATTCGGAAATAAACGTAGCTTTAATTAGTAAAATTATGTGGACGATAAAATTGTATAAAATAATTATATTAAGTGGATTTTTTTTTATTAGATTCTTACATTAATCGAATTTATTAATATTGTATAATTATGATAATAACGAATTAATTGCATGACATAGATAATTTAATGACATAATTATAAATAATTTGCACGCTTGCTTGCAGGCTGAATGCAGTGACTTTTAGGACATAAGACCTTTCCTTATTAAACAATGTAATTCTTGCAAATAAACACTTTTGAATTTGAATTTGAATTTGAAAACATTAAAGTCCAAACTTCAACAGCGTCGTAACGCGTTTACCTTACACTAATCCTCGTAGATTTCGACTAAAGCCTGCTTTTAGCGGATTACATAAAGGGTAATTACTGGCTATTTTAGGTACCTACATGAGAATATTATACTCCTCTCTAGGACAAAATGTGTCCAGGGTTCAGATAATGTAGGCCATCTACAAAAGATATTCGTAAAAAGAATTTAAAAACTTTTCGAACGTCATTTTCTGAGAACATTCATTGCCTTTGTTTTTCTATTTTTTTAATTCTAATAAAAAACAAAATAGTGAATTTATAATGTAATCTTATTGATAATACTTTTCCAATATCTATTCTTACATTGATACACGGTTTTACCGAGTCAGTTGGAATCCATTGAAGCATCGATATGTGAGATTGAGAGCAATATTAAATCGCTTGAGTCGGATGAAGTTATAACACATAGCGTATTCAAGTGATTTTATTACGGGGGCCAACGGAGTTTGGTCTTTATGACATAGGAAGTTAAGTTTGTCTTTTGTTCATTCCTGACAAGAACATTTCAAATTGTTACTCTGTTTCACTAACATCACCACCCTATAATTGTCCACTGCTGAGCAAAGGCCTTTTTTCTTCGTTTGAGCATTATTTAGTAAATTGCTCAAGACGCATTGTTACTTGTCAGATTTCGAATTCATACCCTTATTCGAGAGAAGCTGGCGCCTTATTCTGCAGGCCACCATGACATTTTCGCTTTAAGTAGTTTAATTAGCAAAACAGGCAAAATCCTGAATGATATATAGCGTTTTTTAGTTAATCGCAGTAGAGTTCAGTAACCTCAATCCGGAGTCTTAAAGGTTTCGAAGTTCTATTAACATCGCATTGGTAACACAATTACTGATGTAATAAGGCTTGTTTGAAATTAGTTAAAAAACACAAATTTAAACCTTTCATATGCGAGTAGGACCCACGTTTGATATATGATGAGACAGAAGGACAAAACGACATTGGAACCCTGCAAATGATCCCATCAACTGATCAAAACGACCCTAATAATCTGCACCTTGTTTTCCCATCAAACAACATAAATAAAATTGATCACGAATGTAATTTTCCAACAGCCATTAATAAATGACGTTCACATCAGTCGAAGCCAATTTTATCGCGCTTAGGATCTCCATGCTTTTTCCACGACCTGTGACCTTCTAAAGGTTAGTCGTGTAAATTCGTGTTAGTTCGGCAACCTTCGGCATTAATTGTCCAAGCTCGTATATAGTTCGTGGTAATGTTTGTTTATTTGAAGGGTCGTTCTCAGAAACTTGTGTAATGAGCATTGTTTTTCATATTCGTAGAATGAATTGATGTCGTCTAACTATTTATTTAGTGTTTTCTGCGTACCATCGTACGTTCAAGGAAGAATTTATTTTTAAACTGTTCATAGAATTTTAATTGTCTTTCGGATTGGTTTCTTTAATGGTTTTACTGGGAATATTTTTTTCATAATAATAATCTGCTTTTAATTCTTGACTATTTCTGGAAATTTAATTTTAAGTACCGTCCATCTCATCTTCTTCCATTAATTTTCGTTGCATGATTTGCAACTTGTATTACTAGAAATTATTCAGTGCGCACATTCATAGCTGGAGCTATTCCCCTAATTAACATATTAGCATCTATACTGTATTTAACATCTGTTATCATTACTAAAGTTCCCTAGTTGCGTATAATTTTACCATTCTCTTGTTTAGTACTAACTTTATCGATTTTACTAATGTGAACGGATGGTCCATTATTATCTGACCTCACATTATGTAGGGTCTGTATGAAGTGAGAGTCCATTTTGAATTGTAGTTAAGCCCATCATCTATCTGTCTTGTTTTGATGTTTTGATGGTACATTCGAATAACAGTTGTATATGAACATTGAATTATACTTTATGGATATTGTTATATGGTGGTTGTGGTGGTACATTTGTTGTGTTCCTAATTATTTTAATGTCTGACACGTGTAAGGCTTATTTAGTTAGTATTTTATATTTCTATATTTCTCATCGTAGCCATTAATCATTAGGAATAAAAGTTTTGTTTTTACTATGTGATTGAAGGACCTTCGTTTTACGTACACTAACAAATACCTTTGATAAAATCAATCCACTCGATATTGAATTAGTTTGTTTCAAAGGTAATCTTAGTGTTTAATTTCTTTTTCTTTTCTTAACACCCACGAATGTTACATAGGCCATATATACCAGAGCTTCAAGTTTAGGTAACTTGAAGCTCTAGTACAAGCAAGATCCACTTATAAACGAATCGGCTTTAACTTAACCAAAAAATAGTCGTTTATATATATTGTTCCCTTTTGTTTTTTTCGTAAGGAGAAAATCATTGTCCCGCCTAGGGACAGGGAAAGAGTGACAGACAAATTCAATGAAACATCAAGATATTTAACTATGATCAAAATATTTGAATCAATCAGTTTAGCTCTGACGTTAGTAACGAAATTCTGCCGGCGGTTGATAATGTTAAACATTCGAACGATCACTGAACGTTCAACGCTCGGAGAATTTCAAGCCTTCGCTCAAAAGCGCGCATGACTTGGTACATTACTTAATCAGAGCCTAAATAACCCTGAATATATTTCGTACTCAATGTCTAATAACACTAAGTGTTCTCACAATCAAGGGCCCAGAAAGCTTTGTGTAATATTTTTGGGATTTCCTCTTTAATAAATAAATAGGCAAACCTCTATACTAGCGGCTCTTAGATACGGATCAACGATTTTCATTAAACAAATATTATTTTTGTGGAACTTCGGCTATTGCTTTTACAAGACCGCCTCGTCGAATAACTTTGAACTGATTTGAAAAGCCAACATTAAGTATTACGATAGAAGTTAAATAAATAAAATCGTAAAAAGTATTTTCATTTCTGTATTCAGTATTTCTGAAAAGGTAAATATTATTTTGACCAATCGGAAAGTTTGATTGAAGTCGATTCACTGTTATCTTTTTGTTTCACAGATTTTGCCGAAATGGGAAGCGGTGAAGACTGGGACGATATCTTTCAAGTTTCGAACGAATGAACCAAATGGGCTGGTTCTCTTCAACATGGGCGCCAAGCCACCAAGGGTAGGTTGCACGGTAAGGGGTGGAGCTTTTGGGGTTAGACCAATCACTTAAAAGATTACTATCATCAGCATTGAGAAATCAATCATTATCATGATCATCAAGAAGACGCTTTGTGGGGTGTCGCATTTAAATTCTATTGTTATGTCTTGCCGCACAACTGGGAACAAGGAACAATTCTGTATTCAAATTGAAGATTATTTTAATGAAATTGCTATGAAATATTTCAGTTATTTCGGCTGGTTTGGTTACATTGAATTTTTAAAGTTAACCCATTTTAGGCTTACACGTTTCAGAAAACAGAGTTCAATTTTGGTTATATTAAAATATGGTTAGAGTTATATTCCTTCATGTAACTTTTGATCAAAATAGTTTCTAATTCCAACAAGACATCAAACTCATAAATGTCAAAAAGTTAAATTTCGAACAGTATTTAAATCAAACAACTGACTTGCGAGACCCCACCGACCTCAATGGATACGAAAATCTCTAAATTTAATAATGGCGACCAAAATTCGTGACGGACGATTAAGAAGTCCCTTTTGTTGAATTGTTCCATGTAATATGGACCGTCGGTTTATGATAGAAATTTAATTAAATCATTGAAAATTAAATGAAATCATCGCTATCCATTGAGGTGCTGCATGGTAGGACCAAGTTGAAGAGATAAAGAAAATAAAAACACAGATATAGGGGAATTTGTGTATGGTACCTTATAAAGTTTCACCCACTTTGATGATGTGATTTTTTATGTTTATCTGTCTATAACCTGGTACGCACCGTAGTATCCAAAGCACAAATTGATTCCCCAGCACAACACAATATGCTTCTACGAGAATCCAGTTTGAATAATTTAAAAAACATATTTTTATTTTCCAATTGGTGTTCGAATTTTGTTTATGGTTGACGCTAGGCAAAATCCTGGGACCAAAGGACGTACAGACTTCAGTAGTAAGGGCTTTATTAATACCTACACAAATTCGCACCATTTCGTCCGTAGAACCACTTTTGATTACAATAGCTTTTCTGCCTTAAGCGAAATAATCTTGATTGGATGAAATTCGAATTAATTTTGCTTATCTTTCTAACTCGATATTTTCAATAACTCCACATCGAACATGAACTAAGTTACTGCGGGATAGTTTGTACAAATTTAGTTGGATTTGCATGTCTGGTCCCGTGTATTAGTATTCAAGTAGTTTGCGACTGGTTTGCATGTATTACGTGCAGTTGGACGTAACCGTTTTTTATTTTTATTTGTATTAGAGACGTTTTTATTGATTTCTGTTGTTATAACGATATTTGGTATTTGCTTGGCTTTTTTGTATTCTAGTCACGTTTTACCTTCACTCAATCGTTTAGCAATGAATTCTATTTAAGTACATATTGTATTTGTGTATTTTATTTTCATAATTACATATTCATGTAGTATATCATTATTGTAGTTTAGATTAATATAGTATATTAGTATAGTTATGATAAATATCTAAATATTATTAGTAAGTAAGTTTATTTTAGCATAGTTTGTATCTGATTAATATTTACTGTCGCGAATACAAGCGACACTGCAGGATTTTTTTTTATTATTAGACAATTAACTTTTAGCATTGGTAATGTAGATATGAAAGCCCTGTTAGACTCGTAACAATTTTTGAATTATGATTTATATGTATGTTTTGTGTCAATTGTATTTTAAAATGGCTTTTGAGCTATACAAGTCTAAAACTATATTGACGTCGTCAGATGTGACCAGCACTTTCTTCACATTGATGTTGTGACGTGTTGTCAATTCTAAATTTTTCAAGATCTCATGCATCAATACCATCTTCGTTATTGCAGGCTGATCTCTTCGCTGTGGAGATTCTCAACGGTTACATATACGTGCACATTGATCTTGGGTCTGGTGGAGTAAGAGTTAGGGCATCCAGGAGAAGAGTTGACGATTCCCATTGGCATGACTTCCTTCTTAGGAGAAGTGGCAGAGATGGAAGAGTAACGGTTGATGGAGCTAATGCTGAATTTAAGACACCTGGTAAGATGGTTTTTGGTAGTCAAGTATTTTAAGTTAATTTGGGATCAAGTGTTTAGTCATACACGAGGTTAACGCACCTGCCATTGCCAATTTGGCTGACTAGACTGTCGATTGAGTCTTTCGTCATTTTATTATTAGTAATGACACCATAAATATGGAATGGAATAAAAAAGGACCTAACTATTTTTCCGTCGCGTGAGCTCGATATATGCAGTTTGAGGAAGAAAAACTAGCAACAAGGACTTTTTTCTATGTAATCGAATGAAAAAGAAATAGTCCTAATAAGTTCAATAGCATTGAATACTGCAGTCGAATTAATCTTTTATAAACGTTTCATGAAATACGTGCAGAAATCACTTCAGTTCAATCTATTAATAATCTCGATAGCAATTATCGTTATAGTCATAATACATCATATGACGTCACAGCTCCAATCAAATTTGACACACCATCGACATTAACTCGGCACAACATGCCATCTACCCGCCTATGTCAGGCGCCATTACAATTTTATCTCACGTTAATAGCTTCTACGTAATTGGTACCGAGTGGAGTCAATTTATGCACGTCATGAAAATTAATATACTCGATAAAGCATTGTCAATTAATTTCACATATACTTTGTACATAATTAGAGCTATATGAATAATTATTTTGAATAAATTAGAAATAGGATTATCTATCTATATGATAATGTAATAATTATGGATGAGGTAATTCTGAGATAAGATCTCTTGGGGATATTTTGGAGAAAATCGTGTAATGAAATGAATGTAATACATACGAGTATGAGGCCAGACTAGTATTTAAGCCAGATTATAAATATCAAACATTGAAAGTAAAAGTAAAACTAGTTTATGAGCATAAACAAATTCATGCTGATCTTGATTTTCGAGGGCTAGCAATTAAATTAAATTCTCCATTTCAGATTTTTAATTTTAAATTTTGATAAATACGAATATCATCATAATCTTAATCTATTACACATACGCATACATTTTCTATAATTAAAATGTCAATAAAAAAAAAATATCCTAGCTTCTGAAGTAAATATGTTCAGGCCCAAAACACACATAAACGAAGAAAAAGTATGTTCTTTCGTTATTCACTCTTTAATACCTCCTTTATTAATGATTCCAGGAGAATCGAACCAGTTAGAACTGGATGGACCGCTCTTTGTTGGTGGACTTGGCTCGGAGTACTCAGCATCGAGAACACCACCAGCTTTATGGACAGCAGCCTTAAGACAAGGGTTCGTGGGTTGCATCCGTGACCTAGTGCTGAATGGAAAACCTCAGGATTTGACTGCATATGCCCGGCAACAAGATTCTGGTAAGGAGATATATATATTAAGATAATATGTTCAATGAATCAATGAATTTATTTTTGCAAATAGACCATTAAACGGCACTTTTATACCCCAAAACCCCAAATTAGAAAAATTTGATGAAGCCGGCATTTCCTATCTGACTACTCTGAGAAAAAAAGACGAAACAAACTCAGAGGTCACGTCTGTCTTTTCAAATCCAGATAATGTAAAAAACATATATAATGTGTGAGAACCTTGCAAGTTGATTCTGTAGTGGTCTTTTGGGGTTTATTTTGTTGTAAGCAGGAGCTCTAGAAATAGTTTTATTCAGGTGATCTCTCACTATTCCAGAAACATTCCAAAACTTTTTAATAATGCATTCATAGTCTTGTTGCTATTAGAATCATGCTTAAATATCTTTGGTCTTCCACAGCTTCAGTCCGACCAGCTTGTCATGTTTTGATGAAGCAATGCGTCAGCTCACCATGCCAGCATGGTGCTCCTTGCTCCGAGGGCTGGAATCGACCACTTTGTGACTGCTCCATGACTAGCTACGGAGGACCTACTTGTGGACGAGGTAGGTGTTAAAATAAGTTGTACTGTAATTTTGCTTCTCAAATGATAAGTACTTATTGCCATATACGGGTCAGGAAAGAACAGTCCTATACTATGAGTCTGTACAGAAGAATATTTAAATCATTTTCTTAATATGAATTTAGAATCAAACTGGTATCTGAATATTTATGACTAAATGCAAACCTTCTCGTTGATTAAAATGTTGCACATCTCCGATGAACAAAAATCTCAATGGCGACTTCTTAATCGATCAAGCAGTCATGCACAATCATGTAAAAAGACTAACTATATCGATGTTGAACTTATCTAAAGTATAATACATTCGGTATGTCTCACAATAGTTACTATTAAAAAACCAAATATTAATTAGCATCACAACACCTTTAACACTTAATAAAACTATTTTATAACAATTTTCCAGAAACACCAACAATTTATTTGAATGGCAGCCAGCACCTCACTGCGGCGTTAGGTCCAGAACATATAACACAAACTGAGGAACTGTTGCTTCGGTTCCGCACCAGCAGAGCTGGTCTTCTACTGCGGACGGCTTCTGAACATTCTGCTGATAGGATCGAGCTGGCTGTGGCTGCTGGGAGAGTGAGAGCTAGTGTCAGACTTGGGGATAGGGAAAAGGTTGGTATTAATGGTTTTGGTACTAATTGTATTCTAGGTGTGACACATATATTTAGCTTAGGTACCAAAACAAAATTCTCAATTATCGCAAACAAGTAAGAAGATTTCAAAACACGGGTAAAGCACTTAAACTCTTCGTTGTTGCTAGAGTGCGCTGATTTGGTATCACCAGGCGACTCATCAGCTTGTTCGTCATCCTATTCTATAAAAAAGAAGGGATATTAATCGATTACTTAAAATAGCAATGAGTCTATTGGATGATTGCAAACGTCGCGTAGCACGTTGCCGGGTTGTGTATCGTGAAAAGCTGCTCATAAAAATATAATTCACCAGCGTCCTTTAAAAGAAGAGTTTCTTGTCAAACAGTTAGGTGAATAAACCGTTAAACATTATAATTAATTAACCCTAATGGTGCTCTAACTCAATTGTTGTATTCACGCGTATAGCAGATAAACTCTGAACCTAATCATTGAGTATAACAGCCGATGTGATTTTTTTATGGTATAACTCGGCAAACGAGCTGACGGATTACCTGATGGTAAGCAATCGGCGCCGCCCATGGACACCCGCAACACCAATGGAGTTACGAGTGCTTTGCCGGCCTTTTGGGGATAGGGGTTGCGGATATAAGGATCGGGAAGCGATAGGGGAGGTGGAGGGATTCGGCCTCCGATAACCTCACTCACACGGCGAAACACAACGTTGTGGTTGTTTCATGCCGGTATTCTGTGAGGCCGTGGTATCACTCCGGTCGAGCCGACCCATTCGTGCCGAAGCTTGGCTGTCCTATACGTGATAAAACGACTTTACTCTTTTTCCAGAACCTTCTAGCTGGGACCAACGTGGCAGATGACAACTGGCATACGGTGAGGTTTTCCCGTCGCGCCTCCAACCTCAAGCTCCAAGTGGATGGAGCGCAACCCGTGCGCGGTATGTTATGTACGTATGCACGGGGCACCACCCGCACACCTTTTGTTTTGACCCCTAAGTAGACGACTACAAGGTTGGTTTTGCTTTGTCTGCGTTGGTTGGAAAGCTGTGATGATTTCAAAGCAAATGAATGCTGAATTGAAACAAGACACACATGCATAAACAGAAACATTGTCTTTACACATTCATGTAACTTATACTTACTAAAATGAAAAAAAAAAATGATATAAAACACAAAAATTGATTTCCTTTTTCTACCGAAGATGTCAAAAGAAGTCATAACAGACGCAATAATATAATCAATTTCATATTAGATGAAACATTCTAAGGATTATAATAGATCGCAAATGGATTTAAGTTTGACTTACATAGAACAGAAATTAAAAGAAAAAAAGAAAGAAATTTAATGATACGATGATATTTAAAAAAAACATTGTGCACACTATTTTCAGAATATAAGAAAAAACTTTTCTAACAACACATATTATTCACAAAAACAAAAATAAACATAAAAATAATAATTTTAAATATAATATTATCAGAAAAAAGAATAGCCCCAACGCAGTCAAACCAAATATAGAACTTAAGAACAAATTTGAATTAGCTTGGTACAGTTCAAGCAAATTCAAATTTTAGCACTTTTCGAACTCTTCAGAAAAGTGTATATCTGTTAGACGTCCTATTAGAGTGTAGATAGCTGCTTATTTTACGTTGTTTCATAGCTGGCACTGTGTATCACCTTTCTGTTGGTCGCTATTGTTTCTTACTTCATTTATATTCATTTCTTCTAGTAGTGTCCTTTGTGAATGTGCTGATGTAGTTACTAGAGCTGGTAAACGTTGCCCAACTTCAATTTCATTCTACTCTCTACCTTAAATATGCGTATTAAGATCTAAAATGTATTTAAGTTCTTGGACACAAATAAAGTTTTGAGCAACGTTTACAATTATCTGTGTTAAAATAATGTTTCAAAATTGTTTGTTGGATTGATTCGGTGAGTACATTACGTTATGAGATACTTATTAATTTTTTGATTGCAATTATCTTACACAAGTATCTGATGACTGTTTGCTCATCCATAAATGTTTGAGAACGTATGTAGCGGTTAATGAAATGTGTGTCGCAATTGAATGGTTCAAACGTAGTAGGACAACGCTGATGACTTCTGCTAGTTAATTTGCATCTAGATGATCAATCTGTGTTTCAGTAAGAAAGAGTTCTTAACAATATTGTTGCTATGCATCTTCTAGATATTGATCGTCTGTCTGACTCATAACATCTCTCTAAGCTTGTCTATCACGTAACAGCAGAACTGAAATGTATATAACTTCAAAATGGCTGCTAATAAAAGTTCTATGAGAATTTACTTTGCTAATTTATTTTTCGTTTACAGTCAATGTTGTGGTTAGGTGTGTTTCATTTGTTTTTGTTTGTCATGATACTAAAATTTGAGTTGGTTTTACAGCGGAGACGATTTTAGGAAAAGCGTCAACGTTAGAGATATCAACATTGCATTTAGGAGGACTGTTCCATCCTGAAGAAGAAATACAAATGACATCAACTCTGCCAAACTTTGTGGGGTACCTGCAGAAGTTTGTGTTTAATGGAATCAGATACATTGACATGGCGAAAACGCTTGGAGTTGGTACAAATGAAGAAACCAACAACATTTATGATACTTCAAATCTAATTTTCACTGGAAAATTCGTGAAGCCTGATTCGTTGAATGTTTACAAATCCGTTACATTCAAATCTAAGCATACGTACGTTGGATTGCCATTGTTGAAGGCATATGCGAATACATATTTGGACTTTTACTTCCGAACAACGGAGATGGATGGATTGCTCTTCTACAATGGAGGCAAAAAGCAAGATTTTATCGCAGTAGAGTTGGTAAATGGTCATATACATTGTGTATTCAACCTGGGTGATGGAGTAGTGACTATGAAGGATAAGTTGAAGAACTTCTTGAATGATAACAGATGGCACACGGTGTCGGTGCGCAGGCCAACGCCAAAGATTCATACTTTGCAGGTTGATGATGATTTAGAAATGCATACTACAAGTGAGTAAATATTTAATGAAAGTCTTAAATTGCAATGTTAAATATACCATTTAACATTATGTTATTACTAAGTTAAATAAGAATACTGAAGTAGATATAGATTATATGATAGGTTGCTGATTTAGTTAGTAGTATTTATTATTTACTTTTATTAAAAATAAAAGTCAAATTCTCTTTTGAACGTCAAATAGAGATTGACTGATAAAAACTGTAAGCCTGTAGATCACTCCTCTAGTAAAGCTATATAATCGTGAAATTGATGAGTGATTAGATATTTTTTTCTCATCCACTTTTCCAACGTTAAAATCGTATTTTATAAAATCTAATTATTTTTCAGGCTCAAACCTAATGCTTGAACTAGACAGCGTTTTATACGTGGGAGGTGTACCGAAGGATATGTACACAGCCTTGCCCGTGGGAGTACTGTCTAGGCAAGGGTTTGAAGGATGCATGTCTAGTCTAGATCTACCTGGAGAGTCACCGTCATTGATGGAAGACGCTGTTGTTCCTAGTTCTTCTTTAGGATCAGGATGTGAAGGTAATGAAAAATTAAAATCAGTACCTATTGAGAAAATAAATTTAAGACCTAAATTAATTAATTACTGTTCAAGAAGTAACCAGACTTGGAACAGTAATTAATTAGATAGTTTCCTAGGTCAAAATAAAATTATTTGAATTTTTAATACAGTGAATTATTAAAATATTATTATACTTCTATTCATTGATTTGACGATATATCTACTCAATTTTAGATATTTTGTAGTTAACTTTTAGAAAATAAGTATGCTGTTTGACGTAAAAAGATTATAACGTCATATTTTGGGATTTTATACAAAATTCATAGAAAAGTATCGTTTTTAACATTTAAATAGAAGTATTGAAGTTGACTTTTTTGAAACTATCGATTTGTACTAATTTTAAAAAACGAATGACAACACCAGCTTTCTAAAATATTTTTTTTTTTCGTTAAAATATTGTGATCGTCCTTTGTTTTCAGGTCCAACGAAGTGTACACACAATGCTTGTGCGAATAAAGGCGTCTGTGTGCAACAATGGAACACATACGTTTGCGATTGTGACTTGACATCTTTTACTGGACCCACGTGTTACGATGGTTAGTATACTGAACTGGCTGATGAGTATTTGATTTAGGCAGTAAGGTATTTTTTAAACATAATTTGAGTTTAACTATTTGAGGCAAAGTACGAATTAAAACTTCTTTTCATCCACGGAACCACAGGATCGCTTGGACCTTTAAAAAGCGTACGAGCCTTAAGCTAACTCACAAATAACCCTTGAACAATTTTATTATGATGGCCAACGGCCGTTATCCTTGTTTGCACTATGAAAGTGCACCCAAGGACCATCACCGGCTAATGTGAAATGTGGTAAAAATGATAAGGTTCTGGGTATGTAACCCGATTTCAAATAAAAAAAGACAGGCATGTCGAATAATTTTTTTTATGACATACGAAAATAATGTTTTGTTTTATTATTGCTTTGTCGTTAATGGTCAGATGAAGTTTTTTGTTCTCCGAAGAAAATGTTTACAACTTTAAATGAAATAATAAGATCCCCCAATTTCATTTCAGAATCGGTAGCATATGAGTTCGGTCCAGGCCGAGGAATAATTACCTACACGTTCCCAACTGACTCTGTAGCCGATACGGAGACGGACAAGGTAGCTCTAGGGTTCGTCACTAGCAAGGCTGATGCTGTACTGTTGAGGATCGAGTCTTCCAACACGCAGGATTACATGCAGATGGAGATTGTGAGTAACGTGATCGAGACATCCTGTTAAAGCTTAGCATTCTCTTTTCAAATAGAAATGATCAAATTGTTGGTTTCTGGAAAATTCTGGTGTTGTCACTATTGATGTGATTGAAAAACCTAGTAAATATGCTATCAAAATAAATCTAAATAGGTAACTTGTAAATGAGATATATTTTGTATAATCGCAAGTACAATACGTCTTCAAATTGTCATATCTTTTGATTTGAACTTTATATTGAAGACTTTATATTTGAAAATTATATTGAAGAAATAAAGTTCAGGGTATCCATATAACAACTAGTGACCCGAACTGGGCACGGGCGCAGTACTGATACTATCTTATCCAATTTAATGGATTATGTCATATGAACCTTCCTCTTCAATCACTCTATCTACTAAAAAACGGCATCAAAATAAGTTGTATAGTTTTAAAGATTTTAGCACACATAGGAACAGAGAAAGCGACTTTGTTTTATACTATGTATGTAGTGATGACACAAACTATTATGCTCAGATACGAGGCAATCTCTTCATGGTTTACAACGTGGGTGGTGGAGACCATCCATTAGGTGATGAAACCGCCAGGGTGGATGATGGAGCCTACCACGTGGCCAGGTTCACGAGGAATGGCAGCAGAGCTTCACTGCAGCTGGATAACTATGCTGTTATTATTAGACATCCTCAAGGTACGTAAAAGCAGTGTCATTTTTTTTTATTTTTGGAACTTTGGTTACGTAGGTAGACTGTGTAACTTTTCTTTGACACATAAATTTTCTTCTGGTGTTTTCATATGATACAAAATTGTGCATACACATAAAATCGTTAAAAACAAAGGGCTCATTTCTCGTGCATTTTTCGTGTAAATAAATATCATGCCTATATATCTATTATATAAGTGCGTAAATGCACGGTTGATCGGCATCGACATGCGGTGGTTCGGCAACCAGCTACCGTGCAATGTGTCTTGGGTCCGATTTCAGTCTGGATTTGCGCCTCAAGTGCGCTCATCTTCTTCATAAAGCTTTTGTGCAGTGTAATTGTGCTTGTCTTGATTATTAAAAAAAGGCAGGTGGTGAGCCAAAATTCTTTTATTTAACCAGTTTTCTGCACTGTAACAACTTGAAAAGTTTGTATTAATTCATTGGAAATTGTGATGGTGGCTGGTGAATAAAACCAACGATGTATGACAAACAGGATTGTGTTTATTGTTCAATACACAAATATCTCGACTTTTAGTGTACAAGGGTAGTACTTAGGTAACCTATTGATGGTTCCTGGGATCGACTGCGGGGCTATCGTATCCCGTAACCTCCTAGCTAGCTATTCCTGAGAGCTGCGGGGCTACCGCTCAGTGCAAGCTTTGACAACAGGGGTGACTGCGGGGCTATCGACCTCTGTGCCGTGTGGCTAGCTATCGAATGAAGTTTCTTCCGAGGCCGGTGCTTATATAGGTGGCTCGATGACTGTGTGCGCTGTGTAGGTATACATCTTCATTTGTGTTTGCATAATCTTCAATGGTATCATCATAACTTCCTTTGGTAGATAATAGATGGCGGCACTAGTCTATAAAGTTACTTGCATTGATCTTCAAAAGTAATGTATTATACGATCTACTCGGCGATGAAGTGTTATTAGAGCGAACCGGTAGATGGCGTTTTGTTACAAAATTAATTTAAATTAAATACTAATTTAATTATTTCTATGTAACAAAAAGCGTGTGTTCGCTTGCAACACTGCCAATTTATCGATTTATTAATAATAAAGATTTACATTTGAATATTACAGGCGGGCAACAATCAACAATATTCAACGGTATGTCAACGATCGCGCTGGGCGGCGGCGCGGGCGGCGCGCGCAGCTTCAGCGGCGTGATGGCGGGCGTCGTGGTGGACGGCGTGCGCCTGCTGGACCTGGCGGCCGCCGGCGACGTCGCCGTCTCGCTGCGCGGGGACGCGCGCCGGGCACACGCGCCGCTCGACAGGGACATCAACCGCATGCAACAGGTACACTACATTTGGTATAATTTACTCAACAACTTTCAGAAAGTATTTCGTGTATTTTTAAGAATACCTAATACCTATACTTCGTTCCACGGTCAAGTATTGCTTCTAGGTCTATTTTCTATTATAGCATTACATTTTTTTTATAACGATACATATTCCTGTCAGCTGAAAACTTACTTGAGATATTATGTGGGAATATCAACTGCCTGAAAATAAAAATGTTTTATTAAAAAAATATTTCACATTGCAGACACCACCATCGGGGTACGGAGGGCCCGGAGTACTAGACGAGCTGGTGTACTCAGGCGCTGGCTCCGGCTGTAGAGATGACGATGAAGACGCCTGCGTTCTTCCAGACGCAGGATCTGGAGACGATCTTATAACCCCTGTATATGTTCCATCTACTAGAAGACCACCGTCAAGGCTACATAAGGTAAGTTACCGATGTCAAGGTATATGCTGTTATAGATCAAATTAACTGGAAATTAATAGAGATCTCTATAATTTTTTATACAGATAATAGCTTTATTTAAAATTATGACAGTTTAACAAAATAAAATATAGAGCAATAATAAATATTGAAATATCACAAAATATATCATCAAAATAAAATTTATTTTTTGTAAATGTTTAAAATATACCTAGTCATTCTTACATTCATTGATTTGAGGATAATCTTTATTCTGTTTATTCTTTCTACTTAAAAATAGAATAGTATAGTTTTTGACATTTCATTAAAAGTAATGAATTTGACTATTTGGAAGCAACCATATTATTAAAATTTCGCTATCGTGTGCGGACTTTAACTACATTGAGCTGCGCACTGTTAGTAAGATGAGCATTTTTTATTCATGAAAATTAGTTACTAAGCTGTTAAGTTTCCCAAAAAAATAAATAACAACGATTTCCATTAAAATTTCAATTTCTATTACCTACTTACAGGGCGATACAAGTGGAAAGTTGATGAAACCGTGTGATGACGAAGATTGCATTGAGGGTTCCGGCTCCAACGTTGATGAAATTACTGAACCAGACCATCCGATGACTACGTAAGTACTAACTTATAATATTACCTATGAACATTGAGGATGCCTAATATCGATTCGTTGTTTGGCAAATCTAATAATTGGTTTCTAAATAAGTTATTTAAAACATAGTCGAGGTTTTTATAATAACCTTCGTGATACATACTAAATTAACTAAAAATCGCGGGTTACTCACTTGTATAATATTGAGAAAAGCTCTACTAATTTCGAAACACAGAGGAGTTCTTCCGAGGTTGTTAGATCAATGCCAATAATTTACCGCGGCCTTGACCTGAATAAATTGTCTGGCTTTCCCTCTAGAAGTAACTTGAAGATTATACTCTCACAAAATTTCAAAATGTACTAATAATAATGAAATACTTTCAATTTTCAATTTACGCAAATATGATCATGTTTCTACAGGGTACAATTTCAGTCGCTACCCATATGTTTGCGCAGACAGCAAAGGGAACCAACAACTTTATTCTCCTTCTTCGCCAAGCTACTCTGCACCTCACTTTCACTAAGCACTTGCGCAAATCATATACCATATAGGAGTGACGTTTCGGCGTTCGTACCGGTCGGACTTGCTGTCAGATTCTTGCGCATAAAATAAAACAACAGTGTTGAGTATAGTTTATTGAAGTGAGAGGTGAAAGGATACAAACATACAAGGATAGTACATATAGTGAGTGCTAAAACAGGGCCCATATTATTGTTGTTTATTAAATAAACCCAATAATAAACTTGTCTTGAGTGATTTATTTCTTGAGTACCCTCCGAAAAAAAAAAACCCCTTTTTTTTACAAAGGTTTTATCTTGCTTTGATTCAATCAATAATGCCGATGATCAAGTGTGGGGGATGCGGAAAATTCATTTCGCCGGCAGATGCCGCTAGGTGCACGAAATGCAACGAGCACTACCACCGAGTATGTGTAGCCCTGACTGGAAGAGGCGCCTTACCGTCGTTCTGGCAGTGCCCAGAATGCAAGAAAAATGTCCGTAGGGACAATAAGTCTGAGACGCCTGTCAGGAATAGTCAGGCTGAGGTGCAGTCGGCGACGGCTCCACTGATCTCAGCTGAGGCGCCGGTGCTGCGGTCCGCGACTTCTGAGGAGTCTGCAGAGGAAGAAACGGACATCGGTATGTGTGAACCAGCGGGTTGTGTCCAGGAGAGCGGTGTCGCCATGAGGAACAAACCTCACGACCAACAGATGGATGTTGCTTCCCAGCTACAATCTATCATGGAAGAACTACGTAGCCTGCGTTTAGAGGTTCTAGAACTCAGGAAAGAGGTGAGATCTTCAGGCGACGCTTGCAATGTGCGAATGGACACGATTGAGGCCAGGCTGCAGGTCCTGGAGGAGCGCCATGCTGGTGTGCCGGCTGAGGCTACCGTCGTTGATGGGGTGGTGGAGCAGCTTAGGCGGGAGCTAAATGAGAGGGATCAGGAGCTCATGGCAAATGACTTGGTTATAGCGAATTTGCCCGAATCCCAAGCAGAGAACCCAGTCCATGTGGTCAAGGTCATCGCTACCAAGCTAGGTGTCCAACTGGATGATCGGGACATAGTTTATGCTGAGAGGGTGGGAGGGAGACACCTCAGGGCGACGAGTCCAACGAAACCAGCTGAGGTCCGCCCTCGTGCTGTCATGGTGCGTCTGGCGCGCCGGGACATCAGGGATGCTGTTCTTGACGGCGCGAGACAGCGGCGAGGAGCAACGACGGAAGATTTGGGTCTTCCGGGTCCTGCGGGTCGTTTCTACGTCAACGAAAGGCTGACCAAGGCAAACCAAGACTTATTTCGTCAGACGCGTGCGGCTGCCGGTATCCATGGCTGGCGCTTCGTCTGGACGAAACGGGGACGAATCCTGGTCCGGAAAAAGCCTGGGGAACAGGCCCGCAGAATTGGATCTGAGCATGACATTCGGGAAATTATTGGACAATACACAGTCTAGACATATTTGTATACAAATTCAGTTTAGTTTTGTAGGCTTTATTGTGTATGGGCACTCTAACGAGTGGCTGGTGCGTCGTTTTGGGCATAACAGGGTGAATTTTCTGGGAAGAGGCATGAGTCACAGATCAGCTGTTTGCATAACTGTAGAATTGGCATACATAGTTACAGAATTGGACACAACACACTTAACTTACAATCAACTTATATTTACACTTAGTATCTATCTTAAGCACAATATATACAATTCAACAATTACTATACACAAAATTATATTTACACTTAGATACTATCTGACGCCAAATATATACAAATCAACAATTACTATACACAAAATTATTTTTACACTTAGATACTATCTTAAGCCTAATATTTACAAATTAACAATTACTATATACAAAATATTACAATTAAAAACAATGAAGTATTTTATTTACAGACCTAACCTACGTATAAATAATATCCATTATATCTACACATATTTTACTACATACACACTATACACAACTATTACTTTAAACACACTATACAATATATACACAACATTATTTACAAATAATAAAATACACAAACATGTCTAAGTCTAAGTGCTTAAAGTTCGGTTTCTTGAACGCGGGGTCACTGGGAACAAAGCATGATGAATTTAGGATCGCCATGTCTGAACACTCTGTAGATGTCATGGCGATCAATGAGACATGGCTGAGACCGGGTGAAGAGGGGCGTGCGCCTAGTGTCCCGGGTTACAGACTGAAGCACGTACCGCGGTCGACGTCTGTGCGGGGAGGACGAGGTGGAGGCGTTGGTTTTTACATAAAAACAGGAATTAAGGCAAGAGTTATGAAACACTCTGAACAATCAGATGTAGAGCAAATGTGGCTTCTTATAAACGTCAATGGTAGGAAGATATTAGTTGGCACCGCTTACAGACCACCGTGGTTTGACTTGACTGGTTTTTTGGATAGTATAACTGACAGCGTCACTGCATTGGCCCCTTACGATTATGTCATTTTGCTAGGGGATTTTAATGTAAATCTTTTAATTAATGATTACAAAACTGCTGCCTTGCTTGACTTTATAAATTACACACAAATGAGCCAGGTAGTTCAGACGCCTACGCATTTCGTGGGGGATAGTGGTACCCTTATTGATATTGTTTGTACAGATATAAGGGTACGGAATGTCGTTGTAAATCACATCAGCGAACTTGGAAGTCACTCTTTCATCACCTGTGAGGCAGTGATCAAAAAGGAGAAGGTCAAACCAAGAACTGTATCCTACAGACCACTACAGGACATATTAGTGGAACAGTTCACAGCGGACTTGAAATCCATACCATGGTTGGGAATGACGAGGTCAAATGATGTCAACAATATAGTTGCACAGTTTACTAATGCTACTAAACAGCTATTTGACCTCCACGCACCCATACGAACAAAAAGGTTTAAAGAACTCCCCACTCCATGGATCACCGACAACATAAAGCTGATGTTTAGGTTGAGGAACGAGGCACGAGGTAAGTATCATAACCTAAAAAAGAAGGCTAGCAATATGGAACATGTCGAAACTGCTAGGAGATACTACACAGACCTTAAAAATCAGGCAATATTTGCTTTGGCTCGGGAGAAGGATGTTTATTTCTCCAGGGATATTAATAGACAACTAAAGAATCCTAAAGTTTTATGGAGGAACTTAAAAACCCACGTCTTACCCGACCACAAGGATAGCTTCCTCCCGGGTCACTTCAATGACCCAGACAATATAAACAGGGCTTTTCTTGATGTTCCGGGGACATGTAGTGTATCAATATCTCAGCTGACATTCTTTGAGTTTAACAGTTACATGCATCATGGAACTCAGTTCGTGCTCAGGAGTGTTAGCGAAGCAGATGTATTTGGGATATTGCAGGACCTCGGAACTAATGCAGCTGGCACTGATGGACTGAGTCTGGATATGCTGAAACTTACATTGCCATTCACGATTCAGACTATCACTTCCATAGTGAACACATCTATTGAGTCCAATACGTTCCCTGATGCCTGGAAGTGTGCTGTGGTGCGGCCTTTACCAAAAGTCAGCAATCCAGACTCCTGCAAAGATCTTCGTCCCATCAGTATCCTGCCCTGTTTGTCAAAAGTCCTGGAGAGAGTGGTGTATACTCAAACAATTGAATACTTGGAGAGCAACAATATACTGCCAGATTTGCAATCCGGTTTCAGAAAGGGTCGTGGGACAGCAACGGCACTGGCTGATGTTATAGGAAACATTCTTGAGGCTCGTGACAGGGGGGAGGGAACGATACTGGCTTTGCTTGATTTTTCTCGGGCCTTTGATGCTATAAACACCACATTATTGCTTTCCAAAATGACATATTATGGATTTGCAACAGAAACAGTAAGGTGGTTTGGAAGCTACTTGGAAAATAGGTCCCAATACGTTGAATTCCGTAACCAGGATGGAGCCCTCCTGTCCTCCTCCCCACTTCCTGTCTCGCGCGGAGTACCTCAGGGATCAATTTTGGGGCCACTTCTTTACATTCTTTACAGTGCAGATATTGTAAAGTCTTTTAAACATTGCAAGTATCATATGTATGCAGACGACATTCAACTTTACATATCTTGTAGGCCTGCAGAAATGCTACAGGCTACCCAAGAAATTAATCAGGACCTGCAGAATGTCGCCACTTGGGCAGAGCGTAACTCCCTGGTACTGAATCCGGCTAAGTCTAAATACATGGTTCTGGGCAGTAAGAGGTCAATTGGTGCCATGATATCAGCTGGGCCAGTTATAATAATTAAGGGAGATAACATAGAAAGAGTGAACACAGCTACCAACTTAGGTCTCACTATGGATCCAGAGCTACACTTTGAGAAGCACATTGTAAATTGCATGAGGAACTGTTTTTACAGATTAAAAATGCTCTACACATTTAGAAAACACTTGAGTGTAGCTCTGCGCAAACAGCTTGTGGATAGCCTGGTACTGTCAAAGTTAAATTACTGCGACACAGTCTATGGCCCGTGCTTGCTGGCAAGAACAAATACATTGATCCAGCGTATACAAAATGCTTGCAT